AACGTCTCGAGAGACGTGCAGCCCGCCCACGACGCCGCGTCTCACGTACCCGACCCGCACCCTGCAGGGCCAGGGTGGGCCTACGCAGACGCAGACGCGCACCCCGCCGATCACGCGGCGCCGTGGACCCTGGCCCCGACGTCGTCGGCCTCTCCGTCTCAACTTCAATCAGTCGCACAAGCTTACCTCCGCATGCAAGCTCAAACCGCGCTGCTGGGCCGCAGTTCGTCCCCGGCTCCGGACCACCCGCGCCCGCGCCCGCGCGCTCGCCACCCCCGATGGGCGCGCTCCGCCCACCGCACGGCTATGTCCCACCCGCCCACCCGCGGCGGCGCACGCCCACGCGGAGCGACGCGGGCGAGCTCAAGTATCCGCCGACGCCGTCCGGCCGCGGGGGCGGGGAGCGGGGACGGTGTCGTCGACGGTCTCGGTAGCCCGGGAACGCCGAACGCGTACAGGCGCCTCTTCCCATCGCCTGAGCTCCTCCCCGCTCGTCTCCATCACCGTCGCCGTCACCGACCACCATCCACCCCGCGCTGGCGGCGCCGCCCGCCACAGGCCCGTCGTCAGCAGCGACGTCGTCGACGCTGACGTCGACCGGCGAACCTCTCAGTCACCAGCCTGCAAAGGTCGTCTACTCACCGACAACGGGCGCCGACTCTCTGCCGAGCACGTCGGGGCGGGGGTGCTGCTTGTCGGCCCGATCCACGAGGGGATGGAGATGAAGACGCGGCACAAGCGCCTCACGAGCACAAGCACCGCTTGTGTGTTCTGTCGGCGACGGAAGATCGCCTGCGGAGGGCCGTTGGCGAGCGATGAGGCGCGGCGATGCCAGTGAGTACTGTTGATCTTGCTTCAGGCAGGGGGGGCGGGGGTGCGGGGTGCTGCTCCTCGACGCCTCTCTTCCCTTCTTTTATCTCCCTCGACTTGCGAGTCCCGAGTTCCCTCCCGAGCGTCCGCAGCGTCGAAAAGCAGCAGCCTTGCCCCGCCCAGGCAAGCGCAGGCCTCCAGCACGGCATCCGCGCCCGCGTTCCCTCTTCCCGCTCGCATCTCCGCCGCGCTAGTGTGAGGATCCAGTCGTGCCTCGCCTGCGCACCAATCGCGTCCTCGATCCTCACGTACAGCGCGGGCCGCACCCCCGCGCGGCCTCGCGCGCGAGCTTTGCGTTCTGCTTCCACCGTCTTCTCTCCCCCTCGCGGACGCTGATCGCGGCTCCTTCCCCCCTTTTTTCGCAGACAGTGCATCCAGCGCCGCCAGCCGTGCGACTTCCCGCGGCCTCCGCCCTCGGCAGCGTCCCGCGCGGCCATCCCCCTGCCCCACCATGGTCCCTGAACCAGGGGCCGCTCGACCTGAAGAACAGGGGGAAGGGCAAGGCTCGCGCGGCCTCCACGACCCAGGCACGGACGCCTGAGACGCACGTCAAGACGGAGCTGAAGAAGGAGGACAAGGTGTGAGCGTCGCTCGTCTCCACATCCCACGATACTCCACAGCTGTGCCGGCTGGTGGAAAAGCCGACGAAGAACGACCGCCCCAGATCCAAGCCTAGTATATCGTGCCTGTAATGTTGTGCCACCGCCTCGTCGCTGTCTATGTTGTTATGTATCACATTACTGTATCGTCTCTGAGTATGCATCTTCGGCTCAATTAGCACACACCTCGTCGACTCCCTGCGTAGCGATACGAGTGCTAGGACGGCGGGTATCTGGCGTTGATTATGACGGAACACATTCATTCCGCGCCAAGACCGTACATCAACCTTGCTCATAGACCGAGATTAAACTCAGCACCGTGCACGCGCCAAGCAGTATCCCCACGGTTATGTGCACGACCCTCCACCGCCCACTCTCACTGCTTTTCGCCGAGAGGCCACCGTCCTCGCGGCCTCCCCGCCTCCGAGCTCAATATCCTCCGCGTCCGCGTCCGTGCGCGAGGGCGCTCCGCGACTCGTGGTCAGGACGTCGAGCAGCTGCCCGCCGTCGAGAAACGGGAGTGGGAGGAGGTTGAAGAAATACAGTGACAGCGTGAGCATCTGCATGTACCTGTCCACACGCCGTGCCGCGGCAGGTCAGCCGCCCCTCCTTCCGTGACGCCGAACCGGCACAAAAACGCACGTGAAGAAGAGCGTGCAGACAGCAGGCAGCGCCATCGGCAGCCAGGACGAGCTCGCGAGCCAGTCCCCGACCTCGACTGCGGCGCGCCCGATCGCGCCGAAAGCCGAGAAAGGGGCAGATGAGTGATCCTCAGCGGGACGTGGTTAACGAGGACGAACGAACGCACCCTCGCGCGCGATCTCGTCCCGGTCGCCCTGCCAGACCAGCGTTCGCTCCGGCTCGCCGTCGCCGTCCGCCCGGAGCCACGGCGGGAGATGCATCTTGAGCGCGACGAGCGGCTGGTCGCCGCGCGGACGCACGCATGCCTGCACGCGCCCGCAGTCCGCCGCCGTCTCGCACCTCCGCACGGGCGCGTCGGGGTCGGGGTCCAGAAACAGCAACGGGTCGACGCAACCCTCGAACGCCCCCACCCCCGCTCCCCTACCTACCGCTGCGGAGGTGAAGCACGACCTGGTGGGCGCGGCGGCCGGGGCGTGACAGCAGTCCTGGCCCAGCGCTGCGGAGGGGGGAAGCGCGGATGGTTAGTGCCCGAGGCCAAGGCAGGGGCTCGCGCCGGCGCTGCGTGCTCACCGACAAACCACGGCTCTTCGGCGCACCAGCCGAGTACAGGCCCCGATGCGCGCTCCCCCCGGTCTTCCGCCGCAGTGAGCAGTTGTGCCCAGCGGTCCGTTCCCTGGGCGCGGTCGGCGAGGGCGTCATCCCCGATCTTGTAGATGACGGCGCCGACGGGTACGTAACCGGCCAGCTGGGACTCCTGGACGCGGACGACGAATGTCAATCGGTGCAGAGGTGGGGAAGTGGGAAGCGACGGGCCTCGTCTATCGAGACCACGACCCGGCCGTACGCGCGCACGTTGCGGTAGCCGAACACGGGCCAGACGGCGTCTCCCAGGTGGGACCACGCGAACGCGGCGAGGAGGGCGTAGAGGACGATGTTGTGGAACACCCCCGCGGCGACGATGCGTGCGCGAGCGCGAGTCGGGAGCGCGGCGGTCTCTGCGGCCGGGAGGGCGACAAAGGCGGAGGGAAGGAGGACGGTGAGTCCCAGGCCGACCGAGGCGAGAGGGACGGCGTTTCTGCACGGCACGGTGGACAAGCGGTGAGGCTAGAAGCACGGCGAGAGTAGGGCGGGAATACGCACAGCGCAGCGGCGAAGGCGTGTCCGGCCTCGTGGACGATCTGGCTCGCTAGAAGGGCGATTGAGAGAAGAGGGAGATGACGCAGAGGCGTGGTCACCCCCGGGATCTGGCTCGGGGCCCGTTATCAGATATGTCGCCGTGAGCGACGGTCCGGGGTACTCACAATCAACTGCAGGGCCGCACCATGGCGTTCTCCAGCCCCTCCCTCGAATTCATCCCCTTGTGGTGCAGCACCCGCTCGCCTGGCATCCTCCGCGTGTGTTCATGCGCCTCGTAAAGGGTCCCTCCAAGCTGCATGTGGTGTACAGTAACAGAAGAACGGAGCCGACCATGCCCGCAATACCGAGCACGCTGCCAAGTCGTACGCGAAGACCATGGCCCCTCTGCGCGCGCGCGCCCGTTGCAGTCGTGAGGTGAAGTGCTGGTGCATACCATTGAACGTAGTGGTGTTGAGCCCGAGGTGGCAGTTGGTAAGCGTGACCCGCGTCGAACGCGTCCTCAGCAGATCGGGGGAGGTCGACACACCCACGACGGTGGGAGCAGGGAGAGAAGCGGCGCGGGCTGTACGGCGGCGGTAGTGGCGAAGGAGGTAGAGCCCGCCCCAGAAGGCGGTCAGCCAGAAGACGAGTTGCGAGAACTCCGAGCTCATCGTCTCTCGTCATCGTCAGAGGGGAAAGAGTGCAAGCGCCGCCAACGGTGCCAGCGCGGCGCTTGCTCGGCCAGACTCGGACCTTGGGCAGAGCTGGTGCTCGGGATGAGTGCACAGTCACCCAACGTGCTCGCGATTGTTCAAGTCGCACGGCACGGCGGTGTGAGGCCTTGAGGGAGCCAATGCTGGTTGATCCAACCATGGGAGTACAGGTGCGAGATAGTAGCGAAATGGCCATACGGCGGCAGATGGATTACATTGTATGGACTACGATCGAGAGACGGGGGTAAGGAACGCTACATATACACAACATTGATGGCGATGGAATGAGGCTAAACATGGGGATGGGGAGAGACGAGACGTGTAGTGGGAGTAGGAGGGGAATGCAGAGAGGTGAAAGCATACGGGGGTCGTCAAAAGCAAGGGACACGAACCTCTGGCCTCAGTCGAAGCCCTCTCCGGTTATATTCCACGACCATCGACCGTCCAGGAAGCCCTTCGCCGTGTCCTCCAGCATAATCTCATTCCGCTTCTGGACGTAGACCTCGGATCCACACTCAGCAGCCGGCTTCAACAAGCATAGACGCAGACTACCCACCGTCTTGTCCGTCACCTTCTGTCGCAGGCTCAGAATACTTTCAGGATCAATCGGAGCTTCAATCAACTCCGACAGCTCCTCGACTGCCCTCTCCAGGTCCCTGAACGCGCACTCAGCATCTGCGTCCGCCACCAGTACAGACAGAAACACGCACCGCTGGTTGTCCTCGAACAGTTCCTTCTCATTCCCGAGCGAGAGGTAGTACGCCATCGCGTACGTCCACTTGAGCGTCATCCGGCACTTGAACACGACGTCCACCGCCTTCTTCATGAATTGCACCTGGATCCACGTCAGCTCCGACGTGATCTGCATCTCCTCCATCTTCTTCTCCGTCTTCGCGTACAGCTCCATCGACAGCTTCGCCGATTGCTCGTGGTTCGCCCATCGGTTGTAGTACTGACAACCTTGCGTGAGCACACCGAAACAAAGAAAACCGAATGCAACGCACATGAAGATACCGCTCCAGAGATGCCCTGCTCTTGGTCTGCGCATCACGCGCGTCGACGCTCGCCTTCTCGTCATACCGGTTGCAAGAGTACCACGACGTTCCATGCTCTGACCACGGCCCTGCGAGTCACGCGATCAGCCCATGCCCGCACCCGACCAAACCGGAGAGCTCGGGCGAGAGACGTACCCATGCAGACCCAGCAGAACTCGTACTTGCACTTCTTGCACGTCATGTGATTGCACCCCCCGTTCTTCTCAATCGTGCTCTGGCACTTGGAGCACTCCTTCGTGTTGCTCTTGATCCAGTTCGCCGTTTCCGAGTCGTCCCGGCACTTCTGCAGCCACATCCGCGCCACCGCGCACACCACCGGCCGGTGGTCGTCGTCCACCGCGCACCCGAAACAGTACACGTGCGCCGCGCTTGCCCCGCACGTCACGATCGGCACCATCTGCGCGAGCGCAGAGCGCGTCGCCGCGGCGGGGCATGACACCGTGTGCGTGCAGCTAGGGTAGGGGCAGAACTTGAGGTGCGCGACGACGCCGACGAACTGGCGCACGAGCAGTTCCGAGTACCGCGTCCATGTCTCGCGGCCGTCGCCCAGCGCGCGCTCACGAACGGGTCCGGGGCGACGACCGCGCAGTCCTCGGCCATGCACGCGATCCTGCATTCGGCCTCGGTGCGCACCTTGGAGGTGATGTAGTCCCGCCAGCAGCCCGTGCAGAAGCGGTGGCCGCACATGAGCGCGAGCGTCTCCGTCTGCTCGTCGTCGACGCAAATCGGGCACACGAACGGCTCTGGGGACGGCTCGGGCTCGCTCGCGCGCTTTGCCTTGCTCCCCGGGCGCGTGGAGTCCGCGGTCGAGCGCCGGACCGTCCGCTGGGGCCCCGGTGCCCCGCGGCTGGAGGACGCTTTGGCTGGCGGAGGCGACGGATCGCGTGGAGGGAGCTCGACACCGGCAGCGACGGAGACAGCAGAGGCGTTGTCCATGTACTTCTCGATTAGCTTCTCGTTGTTCCAGTCCATGTGTCGGAGGAGGAGAGCAGCCACCGGCGGCTGGCAGGAGCGGGGAGATCAGCGGGGAGGCGCAGAGACTACGCGAGCATACTGACCTCAACCCCGAAAATGCCGCTGATGTGGTCGACGTCGCTCTGCATCATCTTCTCGACGTCGACCTGGGAGAGCGACGAATGCTCGACTTCGTACACCTTCAGGTTGGACTTGCTGGGGCCAGGGAAGTCGCCGCCGAAGTCCATCTCAACTTCAGATGCAGATCCTGATAGACACAGCAGCGAGTAGCAGGAAGGGGGGGAGGCATCAGGATGGGTGGGTGTATGCGGATTGGTCATGGAGCGCACCGTCCTCGTCGAGGTCCATGAGCTCGTCGTCGTCTTCGTCGTAGTACTCCTGGTCGTCGTCGGAGACGTCGTAGTCGGAAGACATTGTGTGCGGTGGTGAGGCGGGTAGAGGCGATAGGTGGATGGTGGAGGGTAGGTGAGTCGAGCAGGACGGATCGGGGGCGCGTGGAGGACGACCGCGCTTGACGCCCGGGAGCGGAGCTTTAACGTGTTTACCGCGTGGGTAAAGGACCGCAATCGGAGTCACAAACGGCGATCGTGCGCCCCGGCGTATCGCCTTGCGGGCTGCCCGCCCTTCCTTTTGCGTGCCAAAGTCCATGGTCGATTGAGATATACAAGTAAAGCGAGGGAAAAGAGTACAATACGCTGTTCTACTGTGACACATTACTTCTCTAGTAGATACCCGTCGCACGCCCACTGTCTAGTCGACGTCCATCTCCTGCGGGCCTGGGTCCGCCTTCGCGTCCTCCTTGGGCGTGTCGGTGCCCGACTTCGGCGGCTCGGGAGTCTCGACCTTGGGCTTGGGCTTGGGCTTGGTGAGGATGGGTGTCGCGAAGTAGATGATCTCGTCCTTCTTCTTCAGCACCTCCGCCGCGGTGAACACCGGGTCCGCGTTCTTCGCCCGCTCCATCTGCCGCACCGACTGGTCCTCGAGCCACTTCTGGACCGTCGCGCACTTCTCAACAATCGACTGCTTGTCCGTGTCCGCGATGTGCGAGAACCGCTCGTCGTTGGACATCGCCTGGTTCATGTAGTTGTTGATCGTCTCCCGCAGCTCGGACACGACCCGCGTCCGCTGCTCTGCCTCCTTGAACCGGTTGATGACCGGGTCCGCGAGCACGTGGAGGTGGTCGAGCTTGCCGACGTACACAGACTTGGTCGCGTCCTCGCCTTCCTCTGAGTACAGCCAGTCCTCCGCCTCCTGCAGCGCCACCAGGATCTTCTCCTTCTCGCCCGCCTGGACGTACGGCGCGTAGCGCTCGTCCAAACGGCTGCGCGTGTCGTAGATGAACTCCTCCAGCGCGTTCTTGCGCTCCTGCACAGGATATCAGCATCGTTCTGTACGGCCACGCCCTAGAGCACACGCACCTCGGTATCCTGCACGAGCTTGTCGCCAGCGTGCATCTGCGCCTCGAGCTCCTTGAACTCCGCGATCTTCGTCGAGTCCAGGCCGGTGTGCGACCACACGAACGCAACTTCCTTCTTCTTCGCCACCTTCTTCTTTTTCGGCGGCTCCGCCTCAGCACCGTCGACCTGCATCGCCGCCTCCTCGCGCTCCTCGATCTCCTCTGTGTATGCTCCCTCGAAAGAGAGGACGCCGTTCGCGTTGAGGCGCGTCTTGACCTTCACGACAGCGTAATCTCCGCTGGGTAGCGGCTCGACGTCCTTGGCCGTAAACCGCGCGATCCACGGGTTGATGCCTCCAGGGAGCGTGGTCGGGTCCGCGTAACCAGCCTCGATGTCGAAACCGTCCTTGCGGTAGAATGTGAGGATCTTCGTCGACGGGATGTTGTTTCCTTTCGGGAACACCGTCAGCTCCGTGTCTTCGTCCTCGGGCTGCTTCTCCCACAAGACCTTGACCGAGTACGGGGCGATGTCCAACATCGAGAAGTCGCGCACACGGAAGACGGGTGAGAGCATCGCGCACGAAAACGTTGCGCCACGCGCCGCGGCCTCGTCCTGGTTGAGCGTCGTCGAGAGCGTCTTGCCGACGAACATTGCCTGGATCTTCGCGCGCACGGCTGGGATACGCGTGCAGCCGCCGACGAGCTCGACGGTGTCGATCTGGTCGATCGTCAGGCCCGACTCCTCGAGCACCTGGGCAAGCGGCGCGTCAGGCGTTCGAGCAACGGCGCGATCAGCGCCTCGTACTCCTCGCGCGTCAACCGTCCGTGGGCGTCGATGTCGTTCATGATCGACTCGACATTGAGAGGCGCCTCCGCGTTGGCTGACAGGACCTTCTTGAGGCGGTCACAACCTGCGTAGAGACGGAATATGGCCTTCGGGTTCGAGAGGACGTCGATCTTGTACTTTTCCTTGAACTCAGCCGCGAAGTGCTGGAGGAGGGCGTAGTCGATGTCGCGACCGCCGACATGGCGGTCGTACGCAGTGGACTTGACGGTGAGCTGGCCCTTGGAGAAGGCGACGATGGAGACGGACATTTGCGAGTGGCCGACATCGACAAAGGCAACGTGCCGCGGGTTCTCGGCCTCGGGAAGGTCGATTTAGTGATACCGTAGCCGAGGGCGACAGCGGTGGTGTCGTTGATGAGGCGGAGGACGTTCAGGTTGGCGATCTGGGCGGCATCGAGGAGGGCGCGGCGCTGGACGTCTGTGTACCAGCCGGGGACGGTGATCACGACGTCGGAAACCCCAGTCTTGAGTTCGCGCGCGGCGGTATCGCGAAGCTTGCCGAGGTACATGGCGGTGATCTGCGTGGCAGAGAACACCTTTTGCTCGCCGAGGTAGTTGACCTGGCCACAACATGAACACGGGAAAATGTGGATGTGGGTGTGTGGGGGAACGTACCTGGGCGCCGACGGTGCCATTGGCATCCACAAGCTTCGCGTGGATGAACTTGGCCTCAACTTCCTGGATTTCAGGGTCCGAGATCGTCCTTCCGAGTAGTCGCTTGAGAGAGCCGACTGTGTTCTTGAAGTTGGAGATCTCAAGGGTCTTTGCGGGTTCGCCAAGAGCGCGCTGCTTGAAACCGAAAGAGACGAGGGATCTGGAGCGCCTTCAGCACCCTTGCTACATGAATAGGAGAAACTACACGCACGGTGTCTGGCGATTCGAGACTTCGTTGATGATAATGTCGATTCCACGATGGCGCGCGACGCCAATCTACAGGGTGGTCAATCGATCTAGCCGAGGCGGGGGCGCATATAGCCAACGGACCTTGGAGTGCAACGCGCCGAAATCAATGCCGACGACAGACATGGCGGGTGGGAAGGGGATCGTGGGGGTCGTAAGCAAGCGTAAGAGCGGGGAGAGGTGACAGTCGAGGAGGAGGACGTGCCCGCGGTGTGGCGCGTATATCGCTTTTACGCGCTCAAAATTTGGGATCCCGATTCGGGCATGTTCTCGATGATTCTTGCACCTTCCGCCCACGCCCTTGCCGCCCCCCATCGATATTTGAATGTGGCCGACATATCGTTTGGCGGCAGGCCTCCGCACTGCACGCCCCACGCGTCGCAAGACTGCTTGGGAGGATGTCCGTGGGAGCGCAGATCTGGCAGCTCCTCCTATTCACCGCGGCCACGCAGATCGCCGAGAGGAGCATGAGATTCGTCCCGTGCTCGAGCACGAATAAGAATCTAGAAATACATCTATATTACTGCACTCGCCCCGCCCGCTATACCTGCCCCCCGGTCGCCACGGCCTTGTCCGTCGAGTCCACGTTTGGCTTCATCGCCGGGAACAGCAGCACCTCCTTGATGTCTGTTCGCAAGAGTAATTGGTATTGTTGCTCGGAGAAAAGCTACCGCGCAAGCACTTACTCTGCGAGTCGGTGAGGAACATCACCAGACGGTCAATGCCGATGCCCCATCCACCGGTCGGCGGCAGACCATGCTCGAGCCTGTGAACAGTCCATCAGGTTCGATGACGTCAGAGCGTAGAAGGCTACCCACGCGTCGACAAAGGTCTCGTCAATCCCCTGCGCTTCGTCGTCGCCCTGCTCCTTCTGCCGCACCTGCTCCTCGAACCGGAGCCGTTGCTCGAACGGATCGTTCAGCTCCGTGTAGGCGTTGCAGAACTCCTTCCCGCACATGAAACCCTCAAACCGTTCGCACAGCCCGGGCCGCGAGCGGTGGTACTTGGCCAGCGGCGACATCACCTGCGGATGGCCCGTGATGAACGCCGGCGAGATGCACAGCGGCTCGATGAACTCCCCGACGAGCTTGTCCAGAAGCCGTGCGTTTGTTCGCGGCTCGCTGCAGTCCACGTTGTGCTACGCGTTTCGGCCCATCGTCAGTCACTACCGAATAAACGCTCAAAGGAAACAGCGCACACCTTTTGACAAACATCGCGGAGGAACTTGTTTGCCTCAACGGTGTGCAGCGTCTCCCCTGGAGGGAACTTGACCCCGAGCTTTTCCTCGAGCGTCTCGATCATGTCGTACCGCTTCCATGGCCGCCGGAAGTCAAGCTCGTACACCTTGTCGCTACCCTTGCCCTCGGGGTGGAACTGGAGTGTCGTCTCCCCGCCGTTGAGGTGCTTGACGAGGCCCTCGACGAGGCCCTCGGTTATATCCATGACGTCGTACATGTCCGCGTAGGCCATGTAAAACTCGCAGATCGAGAACTCTGGGTTATGCGTCAAGTCGATGCCTTCGTTGCGGAACACGCGCCCAATCTCATACACGCGGTCGAGGCCGCCCACGACGAGCTCCTTCAAGTAGAGCTCCGGCGCGATACGCAGGTAAAGGTCGAGGTCGAGGTCGTTGTGGTGCGTGATGAACGGCTTGGCAGTTGCGCCACCAGCGATCATGCTCATCATGGGCGTCTCCACTTCGAGGAAGCCAAGGTTATCGAAGAACCGGCGCATGTAGTTGATGATTTTGCTGCGCGTAACGAAGATGCGGCGCGTCTCGTCGTTGAGGATAAGGTCAAGGTAGCGCTTGCGGTAGCGCGTTTCCTGGTCCTTGAGACCAAAATGACTCGATGGGAGCTGGTGCAGGTTGGGAGCGAGGAGGATCATCTCGGAAGGGGTTATGGAAAGCTCGCCCTTCTTCGTACGAGAGGGTGTGCCGATGACACCGACGATATCTCCGCGACGGAAGTGCTCGTGGGCGCCTACGAACCCCTCAGGCTCCTTCGCGTCCCTGGGCAGAAATCAGAGTCAGTGCCACGCAACTTAAGAAGAGAGCTAGAAACGCGGTGGGAGGGGTTGTTCAAGAATACGAGAGAGCTGCATCGTGTCTGATTTGAACCTCCATAGACACGCCTCCCAGAGTTCGTAGAATAAGACAGGAAACAGGTGTGTGCGATTACTTCCCACATGAGGCATCGCATCCGTGCAGCAGCTTTGCCGCGTGCGCAGCACCGGGGATGACGGTGCCGGGGAACTCTGGGAATATCGGACGAGAGCGTGGTACTCACTGCTTGGTGGCCATGATCTGGACCTTGACACCCTCACCATGCAGGTCGTAGAACTTGAGGTTTTGACCCGAGGTGCGGACGTTATGTATGCGGCCAGCAAGAGCCTCAGTAGTTCCTTCGAGCTTCTGGCCGGGGGCGATCTTGCCTTCGGAACCGTACTGGTCGATATAGCGGGTGATGGAGGAGGTGACATGGAACTTGTGGGGGTAGGGGTTGGGGGACTGAGTCTCCTTCAGCTTGAGGATGTTGCGCGAGCGAATCTCGTAGTATTGCTACGCGGGGGACTAAGGACAACAGTGGTTCATAAGGAGGGAGAGACGTACGTTAGGGTTGAGCTCCTCTTCCTCCTGGGCGGCGCTCTTCGAGATTACAGGCTTAGGCGGGGCGGCGGCAGCCTTTTCGGCCTTCTTGGCCTCCTTCTCTCGCGCCTTTTCGCGACGCTTGAGCTCCCTTAAACAAGCATCGATGAGGATATGCGCAAGGGTAAACAGAAACAAGCGTACTGCTTGGAGATCATCTCCCCCGTGACGGGGTCCTTGTGGGTGCTGGTGTTCTCTGTAGCCATGGTGCGGCAAAGATGAGGGTAGATGGCAGAGGTGGGTGGGTGTGGCCTATGGACGCGTGCGGCCGATCTGAGTCGAATCAGCCTCTGCATCCACTTTTTTAGAGTTCTCGAGCTGCTGAATCTGCGTGAGTCAACTGTCACGGGACGCGTCGCGCGGAAATCGCCTTATGCGTTGCGCTTTCTCACGAGTACACGTTCCGTCACGCCGGCTAGTCCGCGCTAGCGACGAGGGGTCACGTCACGGCCCGAGGCGGGCGCAAAGGTCTGAGCAGAGAGGGCGAGAGCCGTGTCCGCTACGCCTTATTTCCTGCTTCTGCCCTCCCCCGACTGCCTCTCTGGACACGACCTGGTCTGTGGCGTGCAGAGCGCACGGCGAGTGTTGGAACGGAGAGCCCCCCAGCACGATCTCATCGCTCGCTAAGCCCTGGGACCAAATATTTTGTGGACCCACACAGATGGCGAGCCGACAAAACAAGAAGCGCAAGGGACGCAACCCTCTCCCTCGCGAGCGCACCGTCACCACCCTCACCGACGGCGTCGACGGGCCCTTCTCCCACTCGTCCCCCGACGACCCCGCCATGCCGCCCGGCTTCCCGCCTCCTATTCCCCCGCCCGCCAACACCTCCGCCATGCCGCCTGGCTCCTTCCCGCTCCAGTCCTTCGCCAGCAACTTCCTGTACCCCCAGTATCCCCACATTGTTCCTCCCAACTTTCCCAGTACTGTCGCGCCCTTCGGCCCTCTTCCACATCAGCCTATGCCCTCACCTTCAGTCCTCCCGTCCGCCCCCGTCTTGCCCCCTGGACAAAACGACCTCAAGATCCTCGAACGGCTCAAGGAGGTAATCAAGAACAACCAGCACGAAATTTACCGTCCTGTCCCCCAACCTGCTGCTCTCGCTAGTATCTACCTTGGTCCGCCCGCCCAGTCCCAGCCTACGACGGCCTTTGCTCCACCTGTTGTCCCCCCGCATCCTGAGCAGGTCCCCGTCTCCCCGCCTGGCCTCTCGCTGCACTCTCCCACTGCTTTCTTGGCTTCCATCGATCCGTCTATTGCCGCTCTTGCCCCCGCTCTTGCCCTCAAGTCTCCCCAGGCCCGCAACGACGCTGTCGCCTCCGCCCAGCGCCCGACCGACGAGACCTCAACGGAAATGTACGTTGTCGTTCATCGCGGGCTTGCCCTATCACTGATCCGGATGTTCCCGTCTAGCTCATGGATTTCTCGCCCGCCAAGCGTCTTGAAAGGTATGATTCTGCCCCAAGTCTGCCCCTCAGCAGAGACAGCAAACCTCCCGCCCTCTTTCCCACCGACAAATCTCCTTCGTCTGGGCTCCAGAGGCTCGAGTTCTCTGATCGTCCAGGTGAGATCCACGAAAGTCCGTCCCCCATGTCTGCAAAACTCCCCGGAATCGACGGCAACGAGTCCCCCTCTCGCCGTTCCCACTGGTCGTACAGCAAGAACGACCCTGTTTCTCCCCTCGCGGTCGTTACGATGACAAACGTGGTCCTCCCCCGTCCAGATACGACAGAGATCGCTCCAGGGATCACGATCGCTACCGTGACCGCAGTGGTGAACGGGACCATGACCGACGCTCTGACTATCCTCGCTTCCGTGATGACAGACGGGACGACCGTCGACCTCCCCCTCCAGCAGACCGCCCGTACCGGCGTCCTAGTGTCTCAGACTCCCACCGTCCTCGGAGCGGTAGCAACATGGACTCCAGGCCGCCGTACCGCAACCTCATGGAAGAACGTGCAATCATCCGTCCTCCTCTGACTTCTCTGGCTCCCTCTACTGGTGGCCCCGGTCTACCCGGCATCGACGAGCAAGACATCAAGCCTGTCATTCCCACGGATGCCCGTGGTCCCGCACCTGTTCCTCGTGGTTCCGATCCTCCGCGATCCAGCGACAATCGTCCTCCCCCTGCAGCGGCAGATAGGCCCGGCAGACCTGGGGACTGGATGCCTCCCGATCGTCACCGTCCCGTCTCTCCCCCTAGTAGCGCCCGTCCTCCGCGTCCTCTGGACGACCGTCTACCAGCTGTTCCAGCGTCGCCTGGTTCGCGTGTGGACCGCAAGGGTCGCCCAGATGATGACCGACGTCCACCTGGTCCCCCTGTCTCAAGAGAGCCTTCACAAGCGGAAATGCAGACTCGCCCTGGTACTCTCCGGCCGGCCGACCACGCAGCACGTCCTTCGGACGATCGAAGACCACCTGCGCTGGAAGAGCGTATCTCTCGCGCGCCTGTTTCATTTGCTGCAGAGTCTATCGTACCCTTTCCGTCTCCGGAAGAACGTCTCTCTCGCCCGCCTCCGCTGGACGAGAAGCCGCTGCGGCCGTTAGAAGAGCGGATCTGCAAGGTGCCAGTGCCCGCTCTCAGTCTCCAAGAACGCCTCAGCCATCCTGTGCCTCCACGCGTGGATGACAAGCCCACCCCACGGCTGGAGGAGCGTCTCAGTCGTCCTGCGCTCCCGCCTCCCTCTTTAGAAGAGCGTTTATCGAGCGCCCGCCCTCCATCCCCGCACTCTCGCCTCGAATTCCCTCCACCCGACTCAGCCGCTGCCTCTCGCCAATTCACACCTTCGCGCGCTACTCGCGTGCCGCTAGCCCGACGGCGAGTGAGCGCGGTCATGCCCCGCGCCTACATGGTCCGTCTTCGCTTGCACGTCCGCCGTCTCCCCGGGACCGGTCTCCGCGCCGTGCGCTTTCTGGGGATTTGCCCGCGCGGCCACCGTACAACTTCCCGGACCACCGCGGAGACATCTTACGGCCGCGACCCAGCGACCGGACATGGGTCCCCAACAACGAAGCGCCGCCGCCTCTGCCACTGCGACCGCGGAGTCCTCTGCCTCCTTCGCGGCGCGCGACAGTGGACTCGCATGGCTACGGTACCGACTGGAACGGCAACTGGGCGCCCGACCCCGACCGCGCCCGCGACCGCGAGCGGACATGGGACAGACCGCCATACGACTACGACAGAGACCGTGGCCGCGACCGCGACCGGGATGGGGAGCCAACGTGGGAGACGCGCGAAGAGCGCGAGCGCCGCGCGTCGTATCCCCTACCACGCTCTGATACACTCCCACTGCCGCCCCCCCCGCCCCCGCCCCCACCTGCAGGCCGAACGTACGACAGCGGGCGGCCGTTGAGCTCGCGCCTCGCGGACGGTTACCCCGACGATCGTGCTTATGAGCCGCGCCGGTATCCGCCCGAGCCGCCGATGCACTCGGAGTCGTTCTCGCGCGTGCGCCCGCGCAGTCGCAGCCCACTCCGGAGGGACAGCAGCGATCCGCGCCCACCGCTGAAGCGCGCGCGGGAGGGCTCGCTCGCGCCTTCGCTACCGCCCCCTCCCCCTCCACCGCCCCAGGGCCAGTACCCAAGTGCGGGGTACTACCCGCCCGACGACAGGCGACCGGCGTACTACGATGATCGGTACGGCCGCGAACGCGATGGCTATGGAGGATACGACGGCGGGCGGAGGGATCCGCCGCCGCCGCCGCATCCTCCACTGAGGGTGCGCTCCCCGTCGCCGTACCGGGACAGACCAGGGTACGGACGAGATGCAGGGCGGTACGGGGCACCCCCGCCGCGGGCTTGAGGAAGTTATTTGGCTTGTGAGTTCTGTGGTCTGAGATGTGCGAGCTGGCTCGTTGACTTGGGTTGCAGGTCGGATTGGTTGTGTTCGAACGCCCCGGTTGTGCATGCATCTAGGATAGATAATGATATAGCTCGCAGCCGTGGAATTTCTTGATTATCGTTCTCTGTGCTTGGATTCCGGGTAGCCACTTTATGTCCTCTCTCATGTCTAGTATACACAATGCCAAGTGACTTGTACCACCTCTTGTCCGACAGACAAGCGACTGGAGTCAGCGTTCCTGGGGCCGTATATAAGCGCGCGTCTAGACCCGCCAGGGCCGAAGAGGACGGAAACGCCCGGCTCGTCTCTCGCTCTCCCTCCAACTCCGACCAGTCCTCCCTCACGGCGATGGCGACCGTGTCCCCCTTCGCGCGCAGCAGCATCTTCGACGAGCCGCGGCTTGGCGGCCGCGAGCAGACGGTCAGCCTCCTTCCCCCACCCGCGAGTGCGTCAAACGCTGACCTGGGTGCTGGCCGTGGTTCGAATCCACCGTTTCCTGCCGCCACCCCTTGCAATGCGTCCCATGCACCCGTACTCGGCGCGGCAGATCGAGGAGATGTACAGCGTGCCGGAGAGCTTCCTCGAGATCGAGGTCCGCAATCCCCAGACACACGGTGAGTCCCCCTACTCCAACTCCCGGATCGCACGCGCACGAAGGATAGGTGGTCTGACGAACGGGGCAGGCTTCGGGCGGAAGATGTACACCGACTACGAGATCGTGTGCAAGGTGCGTCTCCCCGCCATCTCGCACCCGTCCTCACTCACGCTACGCTTCCCTCTTCCCGTTCCCGTTCCCCGTCTCCCGTCTCCCGTCTCCCGTCTCCCGTCTACCCCACCTCCGCCGCCTTATCACCCAACAGACGAACATCCCCGCCTTCAAGCTCCGGCACTCGGTCGTCCGCCGGCGGTACTCGGACTTCGAGGCCTTCCGCGACATCCTCGAGCGCGAGTCCACGCGCGTCAACATCCCCCCGCTCCCCGGCAAGGTCTTCACCAACCGGTTCTCGGACGAGGTCATCGAGGGCCGCCGCGAGGGCCTCGAGCGCTTCCTCACCATCGTCGCTGGCCATCCGCTCCTCCAGGTGCGTTCCTCCTTTGCCGTCGCTCTGCCGGGCAGTGCTGCGGACGGACGCTGACCGCTGTGCCGCAGACGGGGAGCAAGGTCCTCTGCGCCTTCCTCCAGGACCCGGGCTGGGACAAGGCCCAGTGGCAGTGAACGAACGGGTCTGGCGGAACCCCGACCGACGCTCTGCTAGTACTACTCTGGCTGTTGTACGAATGCTCGCTCTCCTTGTATCCCCTCTCCCCGCTACACCTCCTTCGATTTCTCCCGGGTTCGCGTTTCTGCCTACTTATCTTCTCTTAAGCCCATCTGCGCCTTCCCTTTCACTGCTCTGTACATACTCCATAGCCCTCCATGATCCATCGCTTGTCTGTCCTCTCTATCCGGACTCTTTATCTAGAACCTCAGTGCGCACACGCCACACACGACATCGCACACAATCGCCAGGCTCAGCACGCCCGCGAGCACGCACAACAGATAGCGTCGAAAGCAGTAACATTCTATTAGACGAGTGTACGAGCATAAGGCAATGAGCGGAGGGGGTGCGGGTGCGTAAGCGTCGCGGGGCGTAGGCATAGTACTTTTGTGCCGGACTCGGGGCCGCGTCGGGCGCATCGTGCGGGGCATGCGGGCATTATGGTATGTACGGCTGGCGGGGCTCGGGGTGGAGGCAGAGGTCGAGGTCAGGATCCGGGTCAGCACCTCAGACGTACTTGGAGAACCATGGGATGAGCGACTGCGCGAGCGTGTAGCTGAACACGAGCTTCGGGCCGACGACGAGGATCTGCGGCGGCGCATCCGGAATCAGCACACGACCGCCTCGGATCGCAGGCAGTGGGAGGGAGACGGAGAAGACGAACCTTGGGGGTGAGGCCCTTGAAGAGCGCAGTCGGACCCTCGTTCTTGACCAGGTCGCGGATGACGGTCACGCCGGAGACCTTGTGCTCGAAGTTCGCGTTCTGGATCCGGGTCTTGACCGTGTCGAGCGGGGCGGCGACGGTGATGGACGCGACGGCGCCGGCGATGGACGCGACGAAGTTCTGGGCCCAGGTCGCCTTGCGGTAATCCTCGAGCCCGAAGACGTAGTCCTTCGTCATCGCGGACGCGCCAAAGAGCTGCGCGGGCGAAGCGGCCGTGTGCGCGCGTGCGAGGACAGGTCGGGGCGCGAGAGGCGGAGAGACGAAGAGCGAATGGAATGAGCATGGGGAAGGAGCAGGGCGGACGAGAGGGAGACGGACCGCGAAGGAGCCGGGGGCGTTGCGGGCGACGGTCCAACCCCAGCCGCGGTAGAGGGTGGTGCCCTCCTCCATGAAGATGCGGACGACGCCGCGGCCGCGGAACGCCTCCGGGTTCACCTGGCGCTTGATCTTGAGCGCGTCGAGCGGGAGGAGGACCTGGAGCGGTGACGAGCGTGCGTCAAGCGGACAAACGCGCAGAAAACAAAAAGGAGGACGTACGACTTCACCGATGCCCGTCAAGCTACGCCGTGCACGCACTTCAGTGAGCCAGGCCGCGGAGAGCAGAGTAGGCGACGCACCTGCCAGCGGTGGCCTGCATCATCATCTTGCCCTTGCGTTCGCCAAAGGCGTTGGTGAAGTTGTCGCGGTAATGGCGGGCGAGGATGTCGGAGAACCAAGGCTGGCCGCCGTACTTGTATATCCGCTGGGTGACCTTGTAGCCCGCGGCGTAGCCGAGGCCGGGGAAGAGGGACAGGAAACGGCGGGCGAGAGGCGCGTTCGCGTGCTCCTTGAAGATGATCGGACCCAGTGTCGACGCCGAACCTGCTCGGCCGGGAGGAAAAGGAGGACGGGTGAGGACGGGGAGGGGGAGGTGCCAGCGCAGAGTCAGAACGACCTTGGACTTGTTGCTCATCAACCGCTTGGCGATCGTGTCCACCGGGTGGAAGACGAGGAGCTCCGCAATACCTGCAGCGCGTGTATGTTAAGCTGGGCATTGCACGCGGGGCACGGAGAGGAGAGACGAACCGGAGGCGCCAGAGCCGAGGATGCGAGCCGTGCCGGAGTCGCTGCCCTTGGTGTTCATCGGAGGAGACATCTTGAGGAAGGGTCGGGGGAGAGACGAAGGGCAGACGAGCTCGACGGGCGACGGGCACCAGGCCAGGACAGAGGCAGAGGACAAGCAAAAGCTGACCGAACCCTTCTCCGACTCGCCCTCCCAAGCCAACAGAATACGCGCCCACTCAATTTCTGCCACTTTGCAAATAGCGCACAATATCCCCGGGCCGAGGCTCCCTCCATGACTCCTCTCTCTCGAGCGTTACATGTACAACTTCCGGTCCAGAATCCGTCTTGATTGGCATCTCAAGGAAAACGCAAGCTCGAACCCCATGGTGACTCGCCCCAACGGACCACATCTCCCAGGCGTCCAAGTCCAAGTTAGTACTTATCTACATTCGCCGCGAGGTCAAGCAGAGTCGCCGCCTGCCAGTGAAAGCCTCAATTGAACGGAGGGGCCCAAAGCGTGCAGGACAGCTCACTCGGATACATGAAAACAAACCGCCCGTTGCCGGAGCATTTGTTTGATTGTCAAGGTAGTGTTGCAAACCCGTTGCTGGCTAAGCAGAGGGAATTTCGATCACCATCATCGGACGAGTGGCGGCATATTGGGCGGGAAGCAAGTGTGCACTCGAGACGCATCTGCGCCCCCGCGCGTGCGGTTACGTAGGCGCCCATATGCCCACCCACAATATTTGGTTGGGGGAAATGATGTCGAGCGACAAGTTGCGCACCGCAAGCCTCTAAGGGCGAGGATGTACCTTTCATGATCTACAACGGGCGGAAGTACTATACACTGTCGAGGCTCATACGCAAATCCGGGACAGTCCCATGCATTCAAACTGACATCCCATCTTGACCTTCTCCCTTCCGCTTTTCGTCAGCCTGACGAGACTCAGATGCGGACTTCGGCGATCCCGTCGTCGTCGTGGACCTTGTCGATGTGCTCAATCTTTTCCGTGGACTCCTTCTCGATCTCCACACCCGCGGTGACAGCCGCGTGCTCTGCGATCGCGGTCACGTTATCCTCGCCATCGAACAGCCTGCATTCAACGGTCAGCAACCAATCGCATGGCTTCAGGAAAAGCCAACGTACGCAGCGGTTTCCTCCAGGGTGCGCTGCAGAAAGGCAGGCTGTGAGAGAGGGCATCACGCGCGGCGAGCTCGACGAGCAACTCACGTTCTTGGTCTCGACGAGGTACAGATAGATGAAGACGATCTCGAACGCGAGCCAGCACACGTACACGAGCTGAGTGCGTGAATGATCGGCGCACGCTCAGAGCAGCAGACATCGCAGGACTCACGTAGTACTTCCACCCCAGGCTGCGTGGGCGTAGGCAACAAGCTCAGCAGTCAGTTTTAAGCCGAAAGAGCACCGCGAGCGCACTCACGCCTTGAGCGCGATCGGATTGATGTATTGGTTGAAGATGAGCGAGAGCGAGATCGCGAAGTTGAAGACCGTGAAGCCCTTGGCGCGGAGCGCGAACGGCAGGATCTGACCGTGTACGACACGATGAGCGGCGTGTACGCCATCTGCTCTTGAGTCAGCAAGCATGCCAGGTACCAGCACAGCTACGGGACAGACGCACCGCGTAGAAGGTATAGAAGAGGAAGATCATCGCGATGAAAGTGTGCGCGGCGACGACGTCCCCGCGCGTCGAGTAGATCGCAAAGCACGCCGTCTGCAGTACCCAGAAACCCACATGCCTGCACGCGCCGGCATCAGGGTCAGCGACAGTCGAACGGCGGGTGGTGGAAGACGCACCGACTGTGGAGATGATGAAGAGCGGGCGGCGGCCGACTCTGTCGCAGAGCGAGCCTGCGATGATGGCGACGAAGAAGTTGTAGATGTTCAGGATACCGTTCTACGAGGGATGTCAGGGGATGCCTTATCGTGGCTGGTGAGTGCACCCACAATGAGCAGCTGCGTAGTAGGGTCGGTGACTTCCTACGCATCAGCCTCTGGACCAGCCCCTGGCGTACGATGGTAACACTCACTCCCAATGGCGTCGAATATCTTGTTCATGTCTGTATTTTGGTTAGCTCCACACCTTCACCACGCAATTATATGCCCACGCACAGTACGAGCTAAGGAGGGAGTCCCTTCAGCGTCAAGTCGTTCTCGCGCACCATGCGGCTGAAGACTCACATAAGGTTGTTCCCAGACCACTGCGAGAAGAACGCGATCGCAATCATAATCCTTAGCCTCCGCCGGTTCCCCGGCGTCCGCACCAAGCTGCTCCACCCGACGTTCGCCGCGACCTCCTTGTCGAACCGGATCGCCGCTTTGATCTCCTCGAATTCGTACTCCACCAGCGGGTCCTTCTCGTTCCCGCTAGCGTGGTAGTACGCCAGCGTGCGGAGCGCCTCGGCCTCCCTACCCTTCGAGCACAGCCAACGCGGGGACTCGGGCACGAACCAGACGAGGAAGACTTGAATCACGGACGGGAGCGCCTGGATCGCGGATGGTATGCGCCAGGACCAGGATGACGGGATGTTGAAGGTGCCGTACGTCTGTGGAGAGCGGTGGGGGTCAGCGGGGAGAGAGGAAGCAGGGTGAGGAGGGAGACGTACCGTCCAGGCGGCACTGTCCGCCGGGAGGGGGCAGAGGAGGTCAGCGGTCTACGCAGTGCGAAGCGCCGCTTTTCGGCCGAGCGACAGCGACGGACTTACATGATGCTGCCCAAGAACCTAGAGTGTGGAGATACGTTAGCAACGGAGTCTCACCGGAGGGGCGCGACGGAACGCACCAGAGAGTGTTGTAGAGCGACGTGGCAGGCGCGCGCTGGGATGGGTACGCAACCTCGGTGATGAGCACCGGGGCAGCTGCAGCGGCGAATGTGAGCCCGAAACCGATCAAAAACCTGCCGCGTTGTCTTGCTTTAGTGCGTATACAGAGAAGTGAGGATCGAGAGCACACACCGCGCGCCGATGAACATCCCGACCGAGTTGGACGCCGTCTGGAGCACGGTCGCGACGCACATGATGACCGCCCCAAAGATGACGGAGATGCGGCGGCCGAGCCCATCGGACATGTACGGGGAGAACGGGTAGGCTGCGAGGCAGCCGATGTTCTGGATCGCGCTGAGGAGGCCGAGTTTCGCGCTTTGCGGGTAGTCGAATGCCTGGTTCCATTGGGGCAAAGTTTGGAGACCGTCTGCAAGATGCGGGGTAAGAAGGCGTGCAGTGTAGGTGCGATATTGACGTACTCATCATACTCCCGTCGTATCCGTTCGTTGTCGACGTGATGAGCCTAGAGCCAACGTTAGTGTACTTCTGGTTTGAAGAATGGTCGGAGCGTACAGCAGCGCGATGCAGAGGTTGAGCTTGAGCAGACGCCAGTTCTTCCACCACGGCGTCGACGAATGCAAAAGGTGCGCGAATGCGGCATTACCGCTTCCGGCAGTGACAGCCGCAGGTCCTCCCATGTTTGTTGCTCAAACCTCCCAAGTCGAAGATAGCGCCGATGGAGGTCTAGCCGCACAGGATGTCAGTCAGGGAAGAGCAACGGCCAAATTTACTCACCTCAAGACCGCTCGCGTGTTGCAAGAGAAGAGAGAAGAGACGGGAAGGATACGTTCTCCGGGGGCCCCGCGCACGCTTTATGCGTCCCAACCTGCGCGAGCGTGCCGAGCGCCCACGAAGTCGTGGCGGAGGAATGTCGCGAGAAGTCTCGGCGAGGGTGCATCGTCGTCCACGAACGCGCGAGACGGCATGCGCATCGCGCGGGATGGACGCCGCGCGCGGAAGTTGACCGGAAGGGGGCGTCCTGCGAGGGGGCGGGCAGCGGTGGCGACGAGGACTGGCTGGGCCGAGCGCGCCACGCGCGAAGCACGCAGATCGCGCGCGAGGCAGGCTGCGATTGAGCGAAGGACGGTCTGTCAACGGTTTCTTGCGAGATTACATGGAGAAGGAGGGGGGCTTCAGGGGGGGCTGGGTCAAGGTGGCAGCGAAAGCGGGTGCGCAACCGAGAATTCTCCAGCTGAGAGGCGGCGGCCCTTTCTGCAGAGTGCAAACGCAGACCCTGTCGACGCCGCGTCTGAGAGCCTATCATATCCGACTTTTTGAACGAAGGAGATCGTCGCCTGAGAGTATGGAGGGCGAAGGAAGCGTAGATAGTCCTTGCGCCATGCTGAACATTCTCATGAAGAAGGGAAATACCGACGTTGTTTATCTGCTGGAAGTTGAGCTTCGGCTGAGCAAAGGAGTAAAATACACAAGGACTGACCGAGAGCGATGATGCGAAGGAATGACAGTCAACTCGCCGAGTTAACTCCTCGCTGGCGGCTGAGAAGCCACTGCTCGGTGATTCAGCCGACGCATGTCTTCTGAACAATCGCCTCGTCGCGCCGACATGCCCTTACTTTCCTTTTGGTGTGAAAGCACTTTCACGGAACCATCTGCCACTAGACAGGGGACAAGGCGCTCCAAATGGCCAGTCACAGCGTTAACATTCAAATCCCACTGGTTCCAAGTCACGGGCCGGAACATGGAAGTTATTGCCATCCGTGAATTGATCATCGATATGCATCTGCAACTATGGTGTCAGTATAAAGAGATGGCGTGAAACACGACATGCTCCTACCAGTGTTCATGGTGTTTGATCCAAGTCTGAACGCAGCTGGTGCCAGCCTGTGCCAGCCGCCAAATCGGAGCAGAGCGACGTTACAGCCTGTCATAGTCACCTGATATGGCGCGTCGATGCAGGTAACGCGTCGCGGCGTGACTATAAGGTTTGCGGGAGAGTGGGGAGCTCGCTCGTCGATCGCCCCTCGTCTCATTCCTTCTACTATTACTACCACCACTCATCCATATGCATCGATTGACGTCCTTCCCAACGCACACCCCGCCGCCGGTCCCCTGGCTCAACTTCCACGACACCTGAGAAGAGAGTCAAGAACATAGCGACGGCGACGTCATCGTCGCACTGGCTGTATGCGCTCTCGGCCCCTGTGTACTGGAGGAGTGCATTACTCATTTCGTTACCATCCGACAGAATGTGCATCCCGCTTGCACCAGGACCTAGCCACCCGCGAAGGGATGATGTCATATGGCCAAGGCGTCGCAGTGAGTCGCGCGACTCACTGGCGCGATCGCCCTTCTCTAAAACGGCTCGAGCCCTACTCCGGCTTCTCGCCCGTTCACCCCACGTCCCCATTCATCTCCCCTCGGCCGAGCAGGATTGAGCCAATCAACGGACCCTAGCGTCTGCTGATATGTCCCGAGCGGCGCGGACAACCGGACGGCTCTCAGGGCAGCTGCAAATCCCTGCGGCGAACGTGCATACAGGGTTCCGGGGAGCTGGTGGTCGAGGCGGTCTACGCGGGGCGTCGAACATGAGGCCAGTCCATTCAATCGAGGGTTCTCTTGCTGGCATATGGGCGGCTCAACCGTTCGACAAGTCCAGGTGAGCGACAGATGACGCCGTGCCCAGGCTCATTTCTGTCTCCCCACACTGACGCATTGCAGGAGCAGTAACCTGCGTATAGTCACGGGTGCGCCATGGATCGACGAGAGCGTTCTGGTGCTAGGTTGCGTCAGCGAGTCGGAAGGGGATCCCTGTCGGCAGATGGCGCACAGTGAGGTTTTATATTCGTCGGGCACGGACCACTCGGAGCGCTGACTGTCGGAGTGTCGCCGAACAGTACGAAAGAGGGACGCGGAGGCCCGCAGAGGCGGCGAAGAAGACGGCTCCCGGCTGAGGCTAGAGGGAAGCCCGGCCGGCGGGCGGACATGAGGCGGAGCGGAGCGGGTCATCCGGGGACCTCAAGCGCCCATTTATGGGCAAGACGCCGGGGTTCAGGGCAGGCCGACGTGGCGGAGACGCGCGGGGCTGGGCAAAGACTGGCAAAGATCACTCGCTCGGACTCCCGCACACGCTCGATCTTCCGCCGTTGCTCCCAACGCCTCGTGTGCAGCAGCGTCCCCATAACCCCCTCCTCTCTGTTCGGTCCTTTATTGATTCTCTTCTGCGACACCCATGGCGCCGCCGCCGCCTCCGCCGCCTCCCCCCATCTGCATCCCCTTCTTTGGTGGCAAGAAGAATCGCCGCCTCACCTACTCCGAACGCTCCGCGACCGAGGACTACAGCTCGCGTCGCTCCAGCATCGACCGCCTCGGCCCCGATTACTCCCCCACCGCCACGCTTACGTCTCGCGCTGAGAAGCTCACATTCTCCTCCGAGACCGAGTCCTTTGCCCAGGACGGCGACAGCGCCATCGATGTCACCCCCCTCCCCCGCGGCCCCCCTCTCAAACGATCGAACACTGTCACCGGCTCGACGAGGGATAAGGAAAAGGGTGGTGGAGGCTCCAAAAAGTGGGGGTATGGCTACGGCTGGGGCATAGGTAGGAAGGACAAGGGCAAGGAGGCCTTCAACGAGAAGCAGTCTTTCAACACTACTCCTCCCCCCGACTACAACAGTCCCTCCCAGAATGTGCGCTCTGGCGGCGGCTCGTCCCAACACTCGCGACGGATGTCCGAGACCTCGAGCTACCAGGGCCCATCTCGCCGCCCGTCCTTGTCAGCGTCCACGAACGGCGGCTCCATCCGCTACGTCCCTCCACCCGGCGAGAGCGGACCAAAGCGCTCCAACACGTACAAATCGACCGGCACCCGCAACACTGGTGGTAGTGGCAGAAGTCGTCCGACCTTGTACCCCTCCGAGTCGTCCAGCACGCTCGTTGGGTCTGCACTGGAACGCAAAGTTCGTGATGAGGACCCGATTGTGCAGAGGCAGGATACCTTGCCACGGCTAGACGCATTGAGGGAGGAGATGGAGAAGCAAGGTCTCGACTGGTAGTAAGTGTCTTGTTTGTCCTACAATCACACGACCCCTCATCACTCCCCTAGCATCATTCCTAGCGAAGACGCGCATGGGTCGGAGTATATCGCTCCAACCGATAAGCGACGGGAGTGGATATCTGGGTACGTTGCCCGGATAGATGGCCTTCAATCTGTGTTCTCATCGTCCATAGGTTCACTGGTTCTGCCGGTCAAGCCGTCATCTCGCACAACGGGGCCTGGCTCATCACCGACTCCCGCTACTGGCTGCAGGCCCGCGACCAGCTCGACAGGAACTGGGAGCTCATTGAAGCCGGTTCCCCAGGCCTTCCCAAAGAATGGATGGAGTTTCTTGTGAGCCAAGCCGGCAGTGACAACAAAATTGGCATCGACGCTCGCCTGATATCGTACGAGAAGGCATCACGTCTCAACCAAGAGCTTAAGGCCAAAGGCGCGAAGCTGCAGTATCCTCCCCAGAACCTCGTCGACCTGATCTGGCGCGAGAAGCCAGCCCGCTCTCGCGAGCCCGTGTACGTCCAACCGCAGGACTTCACCGGCATCGGCGCTGGGCGTAAGCTTGCTCTCATTCGGGACTGGATCATGGACCAGCGTCCGTCGATCCCGTCGTACTCCAAGTCTTCGGAGCCCAAGGCGTCTCAGAAGCAGGTGGCGACACTATTGTCTAACTTGTCGGCAATCGGTGCGTCTTTTGACTCATCAGGGGCCCCGCTGCGCTCACCAAGTCTGTAGCGTGGACGTTAAACTTGCGCGGGGACGACATTCCTTTCAACCCCGTCTTCCATTCGTACCTGTTCATCGGCCTAAGCGACGCCACGTTGTTCGTCGACCAGAGCAAGATCACCTCCGACGTCCATGACTACCTCTCATCCATCTCCGTGAATCTTCGGGACTACAATGACATCTGGACTTTCCTGCGCCGCAAGGAATGGGGCGAGGGTAACGTAAGTGGAAAGTTTCTTCCGTTCTTGCTGTTCGTTCACGGCACAACCATCAGGTCATCGTCTCCCCGGAAACGTCATACGCGATCTGCCTCATGGTGACAAGCTTCAAGTACACCGTGCTCCCCTCCCATGTTGAGGAGCTGAAGGCGGTCAAGAACGACAAGGAGATCGCTGGTCTTCGGAACGCTTACCTGCGCGACGGTGCTGCGTTCGTCCGGTGGCTCGCTTGGCTCGACTCGAAGCTGCAGCAAGGTTACGACATCACCGAGTACGAGGCTGCATGGCGCCTGACCGAGTACCGGCGCAAGAACAAGCACTACATGGGGCTCGCGTATGAGAACATATCGGCGAGCGGGCCTAATGCCGGTGAGTCTGACGTGTATCTGGCCTCGGGGCGACGCTTGGGCGAAAATTGACTCGCGCGCCCCAGCACTGCCGCACTACGTCCCGCGCAAGTCGACGGCGCGTATGATCGACCGCGAGACGCCTTACCTCAAGTGAGTGAGCTTATCGCGCGTAGCGAAGCACGCACTCACCCTCAATTCCTCTCCAGCGACTCGGGAGGGCAGTATCGTGACGGCACCTGCGACACGACGCGGACCGTTCATTTTGGTCGGCCCACGGCGGAGCAGTGTGAGGCATTCACGCGTGTTCTTCAAGGCCACGTACGTGCATCGGGGCCGTGCTCGGAGCGACTGCGTGCTGATGAGCCACGCGCTATAGATTGCCATTGACTCGGCCATCTTCCCTGAAGGCACCTCGGGGGCGAGGCTGGACGTTCTCGCGCGCAAGGCGCTCTGGCAGGACGGCTTGAACTACATGGTATGGAGCCTTCCGCGTCTCCGCTATCGGGGCTGCCTCGCTGACGCTGGTCCGTAGCACGGCACTGGCCACGGGTTCGGCTCGTTCTTGAACGTGCACGAGGGCCCGCAGTCGTTCTCCTCGGACACGCCGCTCGTTCCGGGGCATGTCATCACCAACGAGCCCGGTTTCTGTGAGTTCTTTCGCCGTGATTGTTCATGCGACAGGACCGCGCTGACAGGGGATGCACACAGACAACGCGGGCAAGTGGGGCATGCGGATTGAGTCTGCGCTCGTCGTAAAGCGAATCAAGGTGAGCGATCGTTCTGCGATGTGTTCGAAGATCATACGCTCATCTGTCTCTCAGACACGGGGCAACTTCAACGGTGATCATTGGCTTGGGTTTGAGCGGCTGACGTGTGTGCCGATCCAGACGAAGATGGTGAAGGAGGTGATGCTTTCCAAGGAGGAGCGACAATGGCTCAAGGTGGGTTGCGGTTGATCTGTCTTGATCTGCTGGATCGTGGGACTGATTGTGCTTGCAGGACCACAACCGTCGCTGTCTTGATCTCCTCCAGCCGTTCCTCCGCGACGACACGCGGGCAGTGCGCTTCCTCCGCCGCGAGGCCGAGCGCGGGATCGGTATCGCCAGTGCCGGGCCCGGTGGACTCACCATCGACTGGGACTGAACCCCCCGCCTAGCACGCCGCCTTGATTCCGGACTCGTTCTCGCCTCTCTCTCCTTCCGCCATCGTTGCCTCACATTGATTTCACTCGCCTCGATCTCGTTACGCCGTTACAATGGCCAACATACGAAGACGACCCGCGGTCGTATCCTTATTCGGTCTCGTGCTGACAGTGTTTCTTCGTCGCCACCAGGACCCGCATGTGCCCACGTCCGTTATGCTCGCCTCTCCCTTCCCACCCGACCTGTCGCTCTCGCCTCTCTCGTTCCGTTCCTCATGTCTGCACGACGCGCACGACATTGTACGACCACCTCCCCTCCGTCTCCTTTCGTATCATATCGTACACCAACCAAATCGGGGTGTCGCAGGGCACCCCCCTAAGCCTGTTCCTCCCCCTCCCTCTCGTTGTACAAACGTATCGCAGTACTCTCCGTGGATGGCCGGATACCCGCCGCCGCCGGTGGCACCCTACCTTAGAGCCCTGGCGCGCCGGGACCCCGGGCCCCACGCCAGCTTGTACTCTCCGTCTCGAACTTGACTTATCGCACGGCCGCGCTGTGCCCCTGTCCCGACTTCCGCTTCGTGTATATGTCACCCTTTCCTTTTATTCCCCTTCCTCGACCCTTGCTCTTCTCTTCTGCGTGTACGTAGTTGCGGCTGCTTAGACCGCGCGCGTCCGGGTCGGGCGCGTGCGTGGCTGTATGTAGGGCGGAATCTATAGTCGTTTCGCCATACTTCATTGGTGGGATTGAGATCAGCAACAGACGGAGAACGGGAACAGACGAAGAGCACTCGCCATGTCTTCGTGGTTTTCTCGGGGGTCATTCCACGGTCTCTTCGCGATGCTACCGGATGGTGGAAGGCTGTTCGATGATGCTGTAACTGCTGAACCTGCAGCCGACGGTGCAGATTGGCCACGCAGAGCCCAACTTCGTACATGCGCTCAACCAAAAAAGGAGCCCAGCTTCGCGGTGCCCCGCGTACTAGAGTCCGTGGGCGACCAGTGTCTTCGGAGTAGCTCTGGTCGCCGAGAAGGACGGCACCAGGCGTGCTCTGGGTGACCGGGACTCGAACTGCGTGGCACCGTTCGGGAAACATTCGTCGGCGAAGGCGGATGTCCACGGGCGGGTGCCTCGCAAGCCACCGTTTGTCTTCCCAGGCAGGGATTTGGTGTTCTGCAGAAGGTATGGATGGGCGCAAGGTCGCGCTCGTCGGCCCAGGCGCGACTCAAGGACTGCGTGGCTTCCAGGACTTCGTTGGTGCAAATTGACGGTGTTCTTTCAACCTCGACGTTCTACCTCACAGGGGTAGACAGTTGAGAGGCTCCGGCATGTACTCACGCGAGCATCCCCAGATCTGGGATTGAGCTGAAGCGGTCATAATAAACGAAGAGGTTGAAACGATGGTACATTGGCGTAGGATCTGAGGGGAAAATACAACGCGGGGACAACATGGGGGACGAACAAGACGTACATGACATCGTGTTGAAAGTAAGCACGACGGGGGACGAGGGACGACACAGAGGTAGGTGAAATGCGCTGGATGATGCTCAAACATACCTGGCTGAGGGAGTAGCTAACCGCGTACCCTTGCCGATCCAGCCTGCACATCCTCTGACTGCCTGTGGATCTGCGTCACAGAAACTGGCCCTGGAGGCCACTCATATTCGGAGAGCGGTGAAGCCCTGCATGTAGAATGCGTGATATGTTAGGAGGAAAAGCCGCCGTGCTCACCTTTTCTAGGCCTCATCGACATCATTCATCGCCCTTCACCGGACACATACTTTGTCCCTCTCCGCGAATGGATCTATAGGAGGAGGATGTTCGAGAAAGGGGAGTCGCTTACGCAGTGTACTATACTGCAGTCGTCCAAAAAGGCTGGAAGGGCTCCATATACGCACGCCGCCGTAGGTCGCGAGGGGCGCAAAAGCGAGCGTACTGGAAGAGAGGCCCGTTGCCGGGCGAGGTCGTGGTGGTAGAGGGAGTCCGAGAGTGCGAGCGCCTGCGAGCCCGCACTTCTCTCTCTACCGCCATGCACCAACACAACCCTATCAGTCGGTCGATTGTGCCTGCTGCGATGCGACGGGCTGTGATGTCGCTTGCGTGCGTATGAAATCCTTCCGTCCTCGTCGCAAGTCAAATATAAAGTACTTACTCGTCTGTAGCATGAATCGAAAGACGGCAGGATGAAGCTCATCCTATGTTTTTATGGGGTTGCCCAGGGTCGGTTTCAGAAGTGAATTTCACAGCCGGGCTGCAGACGGTGGAATTGATTTTTACGCGGCCCCCACACGGAGCGGCCTACAAACGGCGTCCTTGGGTGTATCCATCTCGTATAAATGCTCCAGGCGACTCACAAGTGACACTTGCAGCCCGGTACTCCGATGCATTCCTCTCTTCTCCTTCTTCCTGCCTTCGTCGCGGGCGCCGTCGCGGCTTCGTCTCCCCTCGCTCTTCGAGACCTCGGCGGCCCACCCACCGTCACACTCGACTCCGCGACAGTCATTGGGAAGCTCAACGGGTCTGTAGTGCACTACCTCGGGATCCCTTTTGCTCAGCCCCCGTACGTTCCTTGCCTTCCGCAACGCAGATGTCGATGCTCACTGTTTGCCGCACACCAGGATCGGAGACCTTCGTCTGCGCGCCCCTCAGCCGATATCACCATTCACTGGAACGGTCAACGCAACTGCGTTCGGGAACCAATGTATCCAACAGACGTTCCCAAACCTTACTTTTCCGGCAGACGTGCCCGCGGCTGTTGGCCAGTATCTATCGGCATTCGTAACGCCCGCCCCTGTACCAGAGAGCGAGGATTGCGAGTCTTCCAGGTTGCTCCAGAAAAAATAAACGTCCTCACAAGCCATCCCAGGTCTCAACTTGAATGTTATCGTTCCAGCAAATGCGACTCAAGAAGATAAGCTTCCGGTCGTTGTGGTGTGTTTCTCGCTTCTTTCGCGTTCTCTGAGTTGACTAGCCGGGCCATTTACAGTGGATTTACGGTGGTGGCTTCCAAGCAGGCTCCAACGCCGTGTAAGACCCCTTTACTCTTGCACTCATTGCTGCACTAACAGCACTTACAGCTTTCCTGGAGAGGCGATAGTTGCTCGTTCCGTCGAGATCGGACATCCTGTTATCTACATGGCTATGAACTACCGGTTGTCTGCGTTTGGGTTCTTGGGAGGCAAAGAGGTCAAAGAAGCGGGCGTCGCGAACCTCGGCCTCCTCGACCGTAAGTATTTCATAATGTAATGTCACATCTCACACACTGACCGTGCCTTGGCAGAGCGTGAGTCGCTCAAATGGATCCAGAAGTACATATCGGCGTTTGGCGGTGATCCTGAGAAGGTCATGATGTACGTGCGCTGGAACCCTCTCCTTTCTTGGACTCTCCTCACACCGCCGGTTCTTTCGATCAGCTGGGGCGAGAGCGCAGGCGCAATCTCGGTAGCGCACCATATGCTTGCGAACAACGGTGACCCGCAAGGCCTGTTCCGCGCCGGCTTCATGGAGTCCGGTTCGCCCGCGCCCGTTGGCCAGGTCGACAACCCGTACTTGCAGACGACGTACGACACCATCGTCGTTGACGCCGGGTGCGCGGACAGCGCGAACAGCCTCTCGTGCCTGCGCCAGGTTCCGACGGGAAAGCTGAAGGCGGCGATGGATCAGACGCCCACCTTCCTGTCGTTCAAGGTACGACATCACCAGCTGCATAGCGTCTGTGCTGAGCGCCGAGCCTGCCCAGCAACTCAATACGCCCTGGTTCCCGCGGGCCGACGGAGGGTACATCAAGCAGGAGCCGCAGCACCAGCTCATCTCTGGCGCGATCGCGACGATCCCGTTCGTCATCGGTCGGTCCTGCTCCGTTCTGCGCATCACCTCTCTTCTCATCGCCCTCGCGCAGGAAACGACCTGGACGAAGGAAGCGCCTTGTCCTTCCCCACCCTCAATCTCACGTCCGTCTCACATTCTCTGCTCCACCTCATCCCACCTCTTACCGCGCCCACAGGACCGACGACGAAGTGCTCGACTACATCCAAGCCAACTTCTTCCGAAACACCTCGCGCGCCGTCGTCGCCAACGTCCTCAACCTGTACCCGCAGGACCCAGCCGCGGGCTCCCCATTCGGCACGGGCTCAAATCACTCGTACTCGCCGCAGTACAAGCGTATATCCGCCATCCAGGGTGACTTTTTCGAGCAGGCCCCGCGGCGGCTGTTCGTGCAGCAGCTCGGGAACCGCCAGTCTGTGTACAACTACCGTCAGTCCCGCGTCCTCGCTCGTGTCCCGGTCCTCATCTTGACAGTCCATCCCCCGCGCAGTGAGTGAGATCGACCAAGTCGACGGCATCGGCGCGGTGGGTTTCCCCTACTTCCGTCGTCGCGCGCACGAGCTGACGAGGCCGATCTTGGACATCCAGGCGCACGGCACCGAGCTCACGAACATCTACGGCGGCGGCGATATGGCGGACTACCTCATCCGCTTCGCCGCGACTCTCGACCCGAACGGCGACGGGGCGCCCGCCTGGCCGCGGTACACGACCGAGAACCCGGCGCTGCTCACGTTCCGGGACAGGGTACCGTTTGTGAACGTGACGATGGACACGTACCGCATCGCGGGGATGGCGTTCCTGACCCAACTTAGTCTCGCGGATCCCATATGACAGGGGCAGTGGGCAACGTGCACGTGCGTCAGAATAGCGCGGTTCCATTTGTCTTATTACAACGATACACTGGCATCATACTGTCCTACATACGCGAAGGCTTGCAAATACAGGAGATTTCTAGGTCGCCCCTCCGTCTACTGGCGTCTCCAATACCCGGTATTCTCCTTGATCGTGATGCGCGCGCTCTCGAACAGGTCGTTCTTGGCGATCGACAAGTCGCTTTCAGGCCACGATTTCTTGTGGAACTCTCGAAAAAGATTAAGGAGTTCGGTGTGACTGCTTAAGGGCCCGTTCTCTTTGGCTACCCGAAGAGTATCACCGGTCGCGGAGGGCATTTGGGAGGTTGAAGTCGCGGAACTGGCGCCAGCTAGCTCAGGGCTTGGCAGCAGGGCTACTTCGAAGCTCCCAGAGTCCACCTCCGATGAGACGTCGTCAGCGGGATCCCGTTCAGAGCCAGTGAGATGCTCCAGGACATCTTCTTCAGAGTTGTCTGAATTCAGTTCGGAGTCTTCATCGTCGCTCCCCGAGTAATCGCTAGAACCCGGGGTGGTGCCCGCGGACCGCCGCGATGCCGCATCCGACCGCGGCAGGTCTTCGTCCATCGGGTCGATATCGAGGGCACCATCTTCGCCCTCGTCCGCTTCTCCTGAAGATTCTGCTGGGGAAGCAGGACGTGCGAAGTAAGGTAACTCGGAAGTGTTTACCGTATCGACCAGAGGGCCCGGGGTAACGAGTTCAAGCTTGGGATGCGGGATGGTCGATGGCGGAGGATCGTAGAACTCGATGTACTCGTCGTCATCGATGGGGACGTAGTGCATGTATCCAATTCCCGCAATCCGTTGTAGAAGATCAGTCAGGGTGGTGTTGGCTGGGATCGGCTTCATCCACGGGGTCTCCCGTTTCATGTTCTTAAATTTTGCTCGGCCTCCGACATGCGCACCGTCTGAGGCTCGCACCTTGTGTGCAGTGTAGACTTCCTTGACGACGCGCATCAGCCTGGAGTGGACTGTGTCTTTGCCTTCGGTAATCTCGAAATCGGGGCAGTTGGTTTCATGACGTCGGATAACGCAGTATTCGAACATATGCAGAAACGACTCGACGTCATCTTGGACTCCATACCCACGAGTCGGGAAGCGCAGCGAGAGGGCGGATCGGTGCAACCAAGCTCCCTAGGGAATTTTGTGAGCTCGGAACAATATGTGATGCCAGGAGCAAAGTTGGTATCGTCTTACCGGAACAATGTCTTGACGCCGAGGCTTTGTACCGTTCTCGATCTCATCACGCGTCTTCGCGAAGTCCCAGTCAACGAGCAAAGCAGTTTGAGGCTTGATTTCCTTCTTTTCGTCGTCATATGCTGTAAGGATCCCGATGCTGTAAGTGCTGACTGCGCGGTGAAGCACTCTTGCTTTATGCCAGGCGTCGTAATGTGCTACGGAGAAGATGGCTCAGCTGGTCTGCACCCGGCATGAACAGTGTATCCCCTGCGCTGAAGACGTACCTTCCATAGCATCAGCCATGAATCCACAGAGAGACTGGAAGTTCTTGAACTCAGAGAGCGGCTGGAAAACCTCCCGGAGCACTATGCGGTAATGAACGTGAGCGGGCAAGCCAATCTGGGGTTCTTCAGGAGTGCGACGGAGAACCATCGTTCGCTGAGGCCCGTCTGACTCCTCGTCTGGGACATCACCACCGTAGTCACACGAAGGTACGTTGCGCACCCCATGGTCGTTGAGGAGTTTGTAGACTGCGTGCTCCGGGGGAATGTTAGGATCGTCGAACCTCCAGTAGTCCTTCACGGTACGTAGCTCTTCATCTTCCACGCAGTACGCAACATAGTAGCGACGCGCATTTCCAAAAAGAGTGGATGTCCTGGTTGTCGGGCACCCAACGACGTAGCGTTTGCCCGCTATGGTCATCAGTTGCAACGGCCACTGCTTTGTCTTCGTGTCGAACGACAAAGCGCGAGAGTATTGGCGCACCAAGGGCCCCAGAGTATCATGGAGGCGCTTGTGGGTGAAATTGTCCAGTGCTTGGTAGACGTCCGGCGGCAGCGATGGAACAACGGTATGATCGAATCCGAGCTCTGTCCTGGTCATGTGAGCCAGACGCCAGAAGAACTGATGCAGCGCGGGATGGCCTTCAGATCCCCACTTGAACGGAGTGGAAGCGACGCATGACCCACGATCGAAGACGATGATCCGTGCCTCGAAGCGATGGACGTAGAGGGCGATGAGCCGAGTCCGATGTTGGCGATTGAATATGGTCGCGCAGTATTCCGAAATCTGGCCAAGCGCATCTTCAACAGTTGCTGATTGCTTTTCAACGATCGGCGGCTCCGCAGAGTCCGGGTTCTCCGCATCGACTTTCGAGGTAGGGAAACTGAAAGCGGACAGGGTACGCTTGGTTTTCGCCTCAATCGGCACGACAATGTGCGCGAAAGACGCTTTTCCAGCGTAACGACTACGCTCCTGTCGGAGACGCTCCTCTTTGGGGGTCCTGCGTTGTTTGGCCTTCCCTTTGGCACTGTCTTCTTTATGCTTCGCCGGCGCTTTGGACTCAGTGGCGCCTCTAATCTCGGCGAGAGAACGATCCTCAAGAGTTTCTTTGAAGTAGACAGAGAGATCAGGCCTAATGCCCTGATGGACGTGTATATCTTCCCGGTCTCGTAGGGCTTCCTTGGATGAAGTGTCTAGGGTTTTGAGTGATCCGACACCGCTCCCTTCAGACTCGGTAGCGGCCAGTTCCATAACGTGCGCGGAGATCTGGGCCTAGGGAATTTCAGATAAGCGAGTGGATATACGCCGCAGGAATAGAGGATGCCACGTACGATCTGCAGCTGGAACCACCATTCGTATGTGCTCCAGGGAGAACCCTTGATGTAGCTGAACTTGGGTAGGATCTTCTCCGCAGATTCGGTAAGCCTGGATCCGCCCATAAAATTCTCGAAAACGTATTCCAGTGACTTTTCTGTGCAGTGTTTGTACAGCGGCTGGAACTCATGGTACGCCTTTCCCATACCGTGTCCTCCTTGATCTACGGGTTTGAGAGGGAGTGACATCGCAGTTTCGTCGATATTGTTTGCGCCGCGTGGCGAGGGATTCTTGACACCACATCCGGCAGCCCGCGCCTGGAAAGCACCCATATGTTCGGCCAACCGCGCGATGCACTATGTAGCGCCCGCCTTTGCGGCGTTTTTCTCTTTGCAACCATCATCGATGCTCACAATGCTTGTATTAACCCTCGTTGCTCGTCTATGCGGTGCCTTCACACTTGCCCCATCGCCTTTGTCTCTGTTCCTGCAACGCTGGTCAATCGCATCTACGTTCCAGTCCCTTCGATCCTGGCCGCCGCTCTTCCAATCTCAAGCTTGAGCTTCAACAATCAGCCCTCATCTCTCCACAAATACCACGGTCGCGGGCGGAGGCAGAGCCTGTTTGCAGCCACTGTATGGGACGTTGGATGAGAGGGCTCCCTCCTTTGGGAACGGTCAGGAGTGGAGGCCGACAGCTGCGTCGGCAGTGAGCATTCGTTCGCCCATTTCCCCCGAGAAGCACTGTAAGTCTCCCTTGGTCCCTCCATGCATTCTCGCGTGTCAAGAGCGCACTCGTCGCACGCCATTGTCACTCTCAGGCCGGTCATACCCTGTCGCTCCGGCGAGTTGCCGTCACTGCTCGTCAGTGTCAAAACCGTGTCCCTTTGATGGGGCTTACCGTCACCGCTTTGTCAAACCGTATGTCTTCCTTTTTTCTTGCATCTCGGATGGCCACTCATCAGACAATGTGCCACCCTTAGTGGCTTTCGGCGAGTCATGCCACTCGGAACGTTGCTTTGGCCTTGCCTTGACCTGTTACACATGTATAAGATGGACGCAGAAAGTCGCTCGTCCTCATCCCATCCACCGCGCCACCAAACGCTCGCCCCCATGCAGCGCCAGTCTCGCAACCAAGCCGCCGACTCCCAGCATATGTACTATCGGACCGTCATCCCAGATACAGCTACCACACTCGGCAAGTCACTCGATGGTGTTCACCGTGTCGTCTACAACTGTCCCTACGGGGTCCCGCTGTGCCTGCTCACCGACCCCACGAAGGGCGCGGAAGTAATGGACAGAATCTACGGACCACGACCGGAGCGACCCAGCCTGACGCCGAACGGCGTGTTGAATTACAACCTCTATATTTCAGTACGCCCCCTTTCTTTCCCTCGTCTTTCCTCCGCGGCTGACGCCCCCACCCAGTGGCCTGGGCTGTGGGCCGGCGGGTACACCGTACAGATCCGCGCCTCGTCTTCTGGAGCCTGTATCTGAGAGACTTTGTGGGCCCGATCGTGCGGGCCTATGAGTGCGCTTTCGCCGTACGTGATCTCATTCTTGAACGCACCTTACCGTCTAATCCCCCGTTTTGGACCATACAGGAAGCAGAGCAGGACATCCGATCAGGGAGGTCGCCATCCTGGCAGAGCAGCGCAAGATGTTCCCAAAGGCGCGCACGGGCCCGCTCCCGGTCGGGCTCGTTCTGCGTTCGGTGACCGTCGTCGGCCTGAATATCCTGCCGGACGTGGAGGTGCTACAGCTAGGGCAGCCGTAGTATCAGTTCTTTGGCTGCGAGATCAAGTTCGCGTTTGAGGTGCCCGCGTCCGGGCCGCCGGACGTGCTGAAGGACTGGGAGAAGAGGTACATGTCTGTTTTCCTCTGCGTGGCAAAAGGGCGTCTTGATATGTGCATCCCATGTATGGTGGCGTATAAACTATTTTTTTGTTTTCGTAATTGGGTAGTTTCATATGTCATCGCCGACGTGCCACGATCCGTGTAAGGATGAGAGCGTGGGCGGATTGAGAACGGGGAACACCTCTTTCACAGCCTCTGCCTCATCGAGTGAATGTGCGCAGCACACGCGCTCCCTGCATTGCTCGCCGACACGGTCCCCGCGTTGTGCGAGGCGAAGACGACGAGCCCGCGCGCGACATATGGTTGACGTGTGGATCATGACGGGTGTGGGCGCGGAAAATGGCGGCGACCGAGGACCTTGACCGCTAAAATCTTGGTCTGTGCTCCCATGCCAGAGCATGGACCATGTCCGATGTGTACTTTGGCTGTCAATATTTTAATAAGTAGTGCGAGTCGTTCCCTTGCCAGTTGCGCGTTCCTCAAGAATGACGTCACCTCTTGGCGCCCATGCTCGCAGTGACGTCGCGGCTCTCGCGTCCTCGTCCACCGCTCCTTTCTTCTCCCTTGCCATGCAGCCATCATCTTCTTCCCTCACCAAGCAGATCCCACCATCCTATTATCGCTCACAGAAATGGGCGCGTGCTGCTCTCGCCGCCGTCACTCTCGTGTCCCTCGCGACGCGCATGACCGTCAACCGCTCCTAGGAGGTCACACACCCACACGGAAGATGCAAACGTCACTCACAGGGCTCAGTTACAACGCGTTGCGGACGCCATCGCGGCACTCCGAAGCGGGAAGCTCCCCTCACAGTATCAACTGAACCGCGCTTTACGCCAAATTCTAAGCTCAAACGTCTTCGATCCAACGTTTGGAGGAGGCCCACCGGTAATGGTAGACGAAGATGTAGTCGTGACAGCAGAGAGGCTTGCAAAGAGTGCCCGGGAGATCTGTCAGGCATCATTGGAGTTCGGGCTGGAAAAGAATGGTAAGTTCACCTCGTCTCGAGCATTCGTCGCCGCTCACAGCTTGCGTCGTGGACAGACGACGACAGGGTGCAAGACCTCGTGTTTCAGCTTCGTGAAGTATCCAAAGCTTCGTTACGTGTCGGCGCCGTCGTGAATGTCGCGCCTGGGAGCTTGGACGCCGATGCAATCGGTAAGCCCGTCTCTTCCCGTGTATATGCGCCTCCATGAACGCATGCTTGCAGCGCAAGAGGTCCCCTCTCAGGAAGAAGTCATGGCGGACACAGTAGACCTTCTACATGCCGGCTTCACGCTCGTCTACACCCTGGCGACCTCCTTATTTTTCAGACTGCTACTTTTGGACCTCGTTCTCGTTGCACGCGACATCGTCGTCGAAGTTGCTGTACGCGTGGAACAGGCTGCTATCGCGGTAGAAAGCGCTGCTCAGAAGGTTGAAGAAACTGCGAGAACGGCCGATGGTTCTGCATCCCTCAACATGCTTCGACAAGACGGCTTGCTCCAGATAGAGGCATCCTTGGAAGACCCGACGGCGATGGGGGATAGGGATGCCAGCGGGAAGGTGGAGATGGACCCAGGAGCGGAGATCAGAAGAGCGGTCGTGAGGCGTCTGCAAGAGGTATGCTCTGACTTGTGTATCAAAGCCCTTTCTCATCGCGGTGCGGTATAGGCGATGGTCCGGGCACACTCCCAGCCTGAATCTCGAGCGGCTGTCGTCACGCTCCTGGCTTTCTTCCGCAAGTACGCCGCGAAGGTGCGGGCTGCTGCCGCAGAAGCTTCCAACGCAGAATTCCCCGCTGTGAAGATCGAACCGGTCATTTCTACGGATCCACATCTCACGAAGGCGTTGGAAGATCTCCGGGTGTTCCTAGAGCGCCTCGCCTCTGGCTATCCTTTGGCTCCCCTCCAAAACGTACTCCTTGTCACCTTCGTCGACATCGTCACGGTCCCGGCTTCCACTATTTCCGAGAGTCCCAGCAAGGCTGCCATGCGGAGCTGGATCTCGTTTCTCGGGTCGTGGCTGGAAGATGCCCTCGCTGATCCCGGCTTCGCGATCTCTGAATCCGGCACTGCGCAGCTAGAAGCACTCTACGACAAGGCACGCGAGATAATCGATGACGCGACAGACGAAGAGGATGAAGAGTGGGTCGTGCACATTCGGACGCTGCTCCATGAAGTCTCGGCCTTCACCTCGGCTCTTGAGCATGACCGCGCAACACGCAATCTTGTCGATGCTCTATCCGAAGCCGTGTCTAGCTTCGCTCAGCTCGGTCTCCACGCCGGAAAGGCAGCCCCTCGTGCCACTACGCGCGCGCGACACGAAGCCTTCAAGCAGGTCGCGCTCTGGATCCTCCCCCGCGTGATGCGCATCGTGGACGCAATCCCGATGCCTCGCGTCGAGTACGTTGACGACAACATTGAAGCAGCGGTGGACGCGCTCCTCATTTCTGCACCACGAGGGTCTGGCGATCCGGTTCGGCTGCGAGCGTCTCTGGTCCCCGACAAAGTGCGACTTGAAAGCTGGAACCAGGTCGTTGTAGAGCTCAACACGACATCTACGACTCCCCTGTCCCCCTCGGACTCAGTCGTTCACGCGAAAACAAGGGCGCGACTCCACTTCGAAGGCGTACGTTTCTCCGCTCACGACATTGCCTACTACCTGTATCACAAGGGTGCGCGGATGTGCGGCGCACGACTACCGTGCACGGCATATGAAGACGAGGGGCTTGTTAGCATCGATGTGGGTGCTCCAGGTTCGTCAAATCAGGGCCTCATTGCCGACGTCGAGCTCGAATTCGACACCTCCGCTTCCTCGCGCGGTTTCTCTGCTCTCCTCCCCTGGCCTTCCTCGTCCGCATCCCAACTTGTCGACTCCAACCCAACACCGCTCTTCACGGTGACGGACGTCCACCTCGACCTTTCTGGACTGCACATATCCCTGACGCGGAGCAAACACTGGCTGTTCAACGCGCTCATCGTGCAGCCCCTCGCGGCCCCGATCGTGCGCAGCGCCGTCGGATGGGCACTGCGCCGTCAACTACATGATGCGCTCGCATCGCTCGGCGCGTTCGGCGGCCGCGTCAAGGCGCGCGCGTCGCGCGACGCCCCCAGCGGTGGCGAGCCCCCGGCCCTATCCGCGACGCAGTGGTGGACCGCGTTCATGGACGAGCTTGACAGCTCACGCGGCTCTAGCGACCTCACCTCCGACTCCGACTCTGACTCCGACGACGCGGAAACTCCCCCCGCGGAGAGCCACACCCACGCGACCGCACAGGGTATCGTGCGCACGACGATCGCGCAATCGACGGGCGAGGCTGAGCCCGAGGAGAGCGCCCTCGCGGTGGGCGTCGGGGCGCAGCTCCTTCCGGGAAAGGGGGACCGCACAGCGCAACGCTGAGCGGGAGCGGGAGCGACGGCGGGCTCGACCTCGGGGGCCGCGCGGCGGCGGAGGGGCGTGGGGCTCTGGCGGACCTCGCGCGCGTTAAGGGCATGGTGCGGGAGACTGCGGATGCTGCCGCGGGAGCGGTGGGGGAGACACGGGCGGCGGGAGCACGAGTGGGCGCGCGCGAGCGGGTGGAGAGGGGGCGGGCGGGGTGGCGGAGCGCGGCGTTTGATCTGTGACGAGGCTGTGAGTTCGCTCGGGCTGTATGCGCTTACACGGCCGTCTGCTGACGTAGTTGTACGATGCAAGTGCCTGTCACTGCTGTACGTTAGGTGTCCTAGGAACGTGACCTTTACTCGGGAGCTGTCCGACGTCTGCTCAAGAGGACAGTTGTGCAGAGGAAGACGTGTGTACCCTTGGACATTGTCCTCCACGACCTCGCTTTCATCCCAAGATATGGCGGTAGCAACGACGAGCTCATCTCCATCCGTGGCCTCCATCGCCACTGATTCTCTAAAGCAACTGGAACGAGAGAGCGACCGCCCACCTGCACAAAGCGCGGAAGATGGACACCAGCCTGTGGCCACGGCGCTCCTCTCAGGTGCGACGCGGTGGGACCGGATGATGTCTGTGTCCCCTATCCAGATCGTCCGCATCCTCAAGATATACGGCATGAAGGAACACAAGGGGCACGTCCACGAGGAAGCGGGGAAGGACGTGCGCGGAGCACTGCATGCTGTAGGCGCGGTCGCCAAGGTCGCGAAGGGCGAAATGTGGAAGGAGTTGGTGAATGCCGGGATTGTCTTTGCGCTGTGAGTATCGTTTACCCTGCCACACACACGACTCTAAGGAAGCTCGGGATGCAGCTGTAAATGCACGCTTCGCCTTAATAGCAAAGCGCAGGGTGTTTCGTATGTGTATCCGTTGGAGATCCTGCGGGACGCCCTCGCTACGTGTGCCGTGCCCCCTAAGGATACGGAGAAGAAGATGGTCGAGGACCTGAAGAGGCATTGGTCGTCGATCATGCAACATGTGCGTTTTCCGCATCCCGTTCTCGGATACCGTCGCTCACGCGTGTTTTACAGGTATGGAGTGAACGGCGCGCTACCGAGTCTCAGAGTGATGCGCAAGTCGCCGCGCAAATCACTGGACGGTCTATATTCATGGATCCGTCGTTATTCAAGTCAGTGCCTCATTGTCAGATGATCGCCCAGCAGTCCTGACTCTGATTACAGCATCATCTTCGAGCCCACGGACCTCACGCTCGCGATCATCTTTCGCGACTGGATGCAGTCAAACTCCGCGCGCGATTCCAGAGCAAACCTCACAATCTTGCTCCCCCTCTTTTCCAAGCGCTTCCCGCCGCGCTGGAATACGCACCTCGCGCGGCACCCTCCGCCCCCACCGAAGAAGCTCCTTGAGCGAATCCTCCTTGGCTTAACCAAACACACGCCCGCCTCTCACTCCAAGCAGAACACCAAACGCGCGCCGCCTCCGCCCAATCTCAAGCATGTCAACCCTGCGACTCACTCCGCCACAGTTGCCGCGACCGCCGCGCTCTCCGCGTTCGCCGAGCATCTTGCCGAGTTCACCGAGCAGGTGCTGGCCGACGCGCGCGTCGAGTACGACTTCTTCCACGCGCTCTTCCGGGCCGCGCGGGCGCGGGGAGACGGCGACGGCGTGGGGCGGGCCTTTGTGCGCGCGACGTTCAAGTCGACGCCCTTCTGGGCGGCGAACGCGAACGTCATGCGCCGCGCCGCGGACGCCTTCCGGGGTGCAGAGAGCGACGGACGTGCGCGTGCGGAGGACGTGTTCGTCAGCGCGCTGACCACACACTCGGCCATGCTGGATGGGGTGGACGACGATGGGTTCGACGTCCTGCTGGGCACTTGGCTCGAGGGCGGGCTCCTGGATGTGCTCGACGACGCGATGGACGTCGTCATGCAAGTGGCTCGCGGGACGGGTGCATGTCTCCGTCTTCTCTTCTCTTCTCAGATCGGGATCGTAGCTGACTGCAAGCGCAGGCGTGCTCGTGGGCATCCTCGGCGCGCTCTCGACCCACCTGCCGTCTCTCTCGCCCGCGACCCGCGCGGCGTTCCGCACGCACTTGCCCCGCCCACATATGTCAGAAGCTCTCCGGGGCGCGGCGGACTCGGACCCGACGGCGGAACGGGGCGCAGGCCCAGTGTTGGACACGCTCGAACTCAGTTTGCTGCGGTCACACCCGCACCCCGATTCGATTTGAAAATAAATGGACATGTTGTTCGCATTAATTGATTGTACCGCAATGGCCTTTTTCATTCATGACGATCGTTGACACGGACGTTGAGCAGTTGCAGCGTAGCTCCGTCGTGTCTTCGAGCCTAGCGCCAGTCCCGGGGCTTGAGCGCCGTCAGGTGGGCGTTCCCACGCCACCAGACTCCGGGCAGTGTCAACGACGCCCGTACCTTGCTGCGAACACCGATCTTCTTCCACTGACCTCAGTGAAACATGACCGTGGCTGGATAGTTCTACTCCCTCTGCTGGAACCCCATCTAAATTAAGCACCAAGCCGGCTATATGCGCCCCCTTCGAACTCCTGTGACATCGTAGCGCAAAGAATCCAGAACTAGTACGCTCAAGCTCGGTGAGTGCTCGTCATCTCCGTCTCATCGATGTGCACGTTGCCGAGCGTCGGGACCGCGCCATGCATTCCCTTACAGCCTGTGAGGGAATCGCTGGCCTTCAAACTGGTTCCCGTGCTGTGATCACGGACCTTCTCTGATTGTGGACAATGATGACGGTCGGTGTCAGAGGTGCGGGCCGTGCTTACAGCATCCGTACTGTATCATGCCGCATTGACAGCTCTTGATACGTTCACTCTTATGCGGAATGTCTTACTCGCCCACCTCTCGCATGGTCGTCTTTGAATGTATCCTGCGACTCCTGCCGAAGCACGCTTACACTGCGCCGTTGGGGGCGCCATCATAGCGAACTTCTGACTTCTATCCATCTTCGCAGGAAGCTTATGCCGCCTTCTCGGCTTTGCTCACCTCAATCGCTCCCGTTACTCCCATGACGGTTAGGCTCTGCAGACCTTACATGATTGGTTATGATGCTGTTGGCAGTTCCCAAATGTCGTTCATGACGACGAGCGCACGTTTAAGTACTCCGCGGTGACATCGCCTAGCCCATCCCACGCAACCTCTCTCGCTCTAGTCTCGCTTCCCTCACCATCGACCCCCTCCGCTGAAACCGCTGCGCTCATGTTTCTGGCTTCGACATCACTCTTCCTCTTGCTGCTCTTCTCGCCTCTTGCACTCTCTCAGGACTTATCTCAGACATTCTTTCCTTCCAGTATCCCTCTTGCCGTGCGGAGTCCTTACCTCAACGTATGGCATAACAGCACGGTTGGTGCGAGTGCTCTTTCTCAATCATGGCCTTCATTCTGGCCCATGTCGGTGCGTAAATATCTCTTTCCTGCGTCTACGATCAGCGAGACAAACCGGAGAAATCACCCGGCAGAGTCAATCATTCACGGCCATGAGGTGGCGGGGTAGGATCAAAATCGACAACACTACGTTGAAAATGTACGAGTGGATGGGGGACAGTGGCGACTGGGTTAAGGGTGTGGTCTCAAACGTGCAGTTGACCCCCACGCGGACCATCTTCACGGTGACCACAGGGAGCATCCGGCTGAATGTCACCTTCCTCTCTCCCATCGAGGTGAGCTTCTTGATCGCTGTCGCTGGTACCTACATGTGTCTCATTGCGCGGATGGCGCATTTCTTGCACAGCCCGACGATCTCGTCAAGCAGTCGATACCATTCACCTACCTCTCTGTGGACGTTATGTCGATCGACGGGGCTCCGCACGATGTCCAAATCTGGAGCGACATCGTTCCCATGGGTAAGCCGACTGGCTCCTTCGACGCTCGCACGCTCATGGTTCCGTTCAAATAGACTGGCTGACGAACACCTCCAAGACTAACGCGTACTGGATAGAGCGTGATACGACGTCCAGCAAGTACGAGAAGATGGTCCTCAAGCTTCCCCCGATTAACGTGGAGGCCAACAACCATACTCTTGACGGAGTCATCTATCATGCGACAAAGCTGGTGAGTCCCCGCTTGCGACACTGATCGTGCTCCTGCCCGTCTAAGAAAGTTGGATTACAGGATGAATCTACGTCATTCGAGATGGACGTTTTCGACACCGTCAGGCAGCAGTTCCAGGTTAACGGTGTCTTAACAAACGCCAACAGCGACGCTTCAGCAGCCGTCCCAGCGTACGTGCTCTCTGGTCACCCCTCCAACGAATCGCTGAACAGCGACTACACGCTCAGGGATGACTATGTGTTCGCATTCTCCAAAGAGATGGGCGCTGTCTCGACCACGCCTCAGACTGTCACATGGGCAGTTGGCTACGTGCGCTCCCCGTCCATCCTGTATAAGACTCCTCAGGGCGTGAGACAAAACCGAGTCCCCTACTTCGAGACCGAGCACCCTTTGTTACCGACCACATTCGATGCAGCTACCGCGGTACGTCCTCGAATCGTACTGTGCGATTCAACGCTGATTTTGCAATTCCTCAGATTGACGTTTTCATAGCAGACTACGACAATGCGCTCAGCCGCGCAAAAGCGCTGGATGACAAGATCATGGGTGCCGCAGCGCAGGTCTCGCCCCACTACGTCGATCTTGTCTCATTGAGCGCACGACAGGTCTTCGCGTCTCTTGAAGTCACCGCCGGGACAGACGCGAGCGGGAACATCGATCCCTCGACGTCAAGATCTTCATGCGCGACACCGGCGCATCACAGTATGTCCCAGTTGTATGTTTGCGCTCGTGCTCTCACCTCTGCCTCACAGACGCGTCAGTCCGGTCGAACGCATGTACGCGGCGATGCCAGCGATCCTATACTTCAACGCGAGCTGGATGGGCTACATGCTCCAGCCCTACTTGAGAATCAGCAGAATATATCACAGCCATTCGCTGCACAGCACCTAGGTGAGTTGCTTGCGAAGACCGTGCGCGTGTGTCGTCTGAACGCCCGCTGTAGGAAATGTATGGCCTCAGGCTATAGATCTTGGGGTAGAAGAAAATTTGGGAGTGGAAGGTGCGCGAAGAAGCATTCACACGTCATAGCCTACTTACGATGCATCGCAGAAACTGGAAATATGCTGATAATGATGTATGCGCACGCCCGGTTCACCGGGGACTCCTCGCTGCTTTCTGGATATGTACGTGTACAAAAACGATATCCTGATCGACGGTCATCATCTCTGAAGCTTGTCTTTGGCAGTACGAACTCTCTAACGCCTGGGCGGACTACCTTGTCGCTAACGCTCTGAATACACCAAACCAGTAGGTGCTCTCGTCGCTGGCGCGGATACATATGTTGACCGACTTCTAGGCAATCGGCTGATGGGGTGCTAGCAGATAACCAGACGAACCTCGCCATCAAGGGGATCATCGCGGTCAAGGCTTTTGCAGAGATGAGCAGGATGGTGGGAAACGACGACAATGCGCAGAAGTACGAGGCAAGTATATCGACGTCATGAGCTGTGGAAGATCACTGACCTCTTGTGCAGACTTCATCGGAAAGCCTCATGAACCAATGGAGGTCGCTTTCCATTTCTGACAATGCCAAACATTTCCTCGGAAGATACGGGGTGCAAAACTCGCGGTCGCTGTTGTACAACCTGTACGCAGATCGGCTGCTCAACACGTCTGTTGTTCCGCAGTCTGTGAGTTGTTTATGTCCCATTCGATGTGGTGAAACCCATAGGTGAGCTTGTCAGCTTTTGGACGGTCAAGCCGAAACATATGCTCGAGTCATGCGACGCAACGGTTAGTATCTGACGGTATATTGGGAGGCAACCACTGACGGCGGAAACTCAGGTGCACCGTTCGGAGCTCCGATCGATAACAACACGCAGGATCTTACTAACGCAGGTAAAGGCGGGTCGTGTGCGCAGTGCACACATATCTAAACGAATAACACAGCATGGCTTGCATTTTGTGCAGCGACCACTACGAACTCTACCGTCAGTACCCAGCTGATCGACACGACATGGCTCCGTGCGAGCTCAAACGGCTCGGTTGGAGCGTTCCCCGCGATTTATGATTCAGTGGACGGATCGGCTGCGTCGAACTCGGGCGGTGCGGGGTCAGTTACCTATGCTACTGTTTATCTCGTCCGATCCTAACACATGGACTTGCTAGACCCAGTCTCGGCGCCATGTTCTCGCTGCTCGCCCTCACGTATGTTCTAACTGTCCACCAACTCACTTTCCGACCGTATTGATCGCCTGTATAGCGGGCCCCTCAACGCCTCCCAACCCAACAACCCAGGTCGCACCAGTGTCGGAGGCCGCGGCTCCACTCGCTCCAACATCGGCCCAATTGTCGGCGGAGTAGTTGGTGGCCTCGCGCTCCTCGGCCTCCTCTGCACAAGCCTCTACTTCTACGCGCGACGAAACCGGAGCCAGCGCGTGAAACACGTCTCTTTTTCGGGCGAGAGCGACGTTTTGTCTGTCGATGCAGGAATACTCTCTACCATCTGGACATACAGCAACCGCGGGACCGACTCTGCGTCCTTCCCAACGAACCTGCCCACCGTGACCGGTGGTTCGTCGCGGACACGGACACAGACCGGTACTGGAACGCGCACCGGCAGCGCACCCTCGTCTGTCCCTCCGCTTCTCTCCGTCCTCTTCCCTACATCCGACCCGGCCTCTTCCCCCGCCGCACCCTCGAGCGAGGGATACATCCCGTCCACGAAGGCGCTCCGCGCACGCCTTCGCCCCTCGCGCACGTCCCACCCCTTCACGCAGAGGCATCCTCCGACGCGCCCTTGGCACCCTCTTCCCCCCGGTCCGCATCCCCACGGTACGCATACGCACCCCCAGCCGCGGGCGGCGCCGCGAGCCTCCATCCTACGACAGACGCCATGTGTCAGGCGAGCGAGTCTGGCCTTGGGTCGCTCTCAGCGATGACCGAGGTCGTCGACCTGCACGCCGAGGTCGTCAACCTTCGGCGGGTGATGGAGGAGCTTAGGACGGACCGCGACGGGCCTCCGCCGGTGTACCCGGGGGAGTGTGCGGTGCCGCCGAGAAGGGTGGCGGGGGTGGATGACAAGAGGAGGTTGGATTGATCGTTCCGTTGTTCCGTTCGTCCTTTCGTTTGTATTTCTTTATTATGGGACTCGAGGATGGACTAGATGGTTTCCTTTTGTATTGTAGTTCGTAGCTGTCAACATAATTTTGCGTGGTCGTCTCGACGCGCGTACTTGTTCTGTGGGGCGCATATAGCGCAGCACACAGCGCCCACCCCTGAGATCTTGAGACCTGAGCCGGAGGGTTGGAGACCCAGCGCGGACGCGCCTCTGAAAGGTAGATGATTGTGCACGACTCCATAACATACGCCCTATCTATATATACAACCCAGACCGTTACAAAACCATCAGCTTTACAGTTTCTCCATGTTACAAACCGAGTCTCGATACCCCATCCAGAATAGTGTCCAGCGTAGTCCGTGTTGACTCTCCTTCTCCGTCTAGCCACGTCTGGAAGACACGACAGACCGCGTCCTCAGGCAGAAGCGCGGAGGACTAGTGCAAAGTCGATGAGGAAAGCCGTCCAAGGGCCGCAGAGACCGCACCAAGAACACTCACCTTCCTGCCCGTGCTCCTCGCCCACGATCTCAATCCCCCCTCCTCCTCGTAGTACTCGTCGTAGCACTCCCACTCCTCGTCGTCGAGCCAGTACTCCCCATCTTCCTGCTCCTGGTCCTCCTGCTCCCCAAAGATCTCCCACACCGGCGTCGGCGTGCCTCGCGTATCGGGCGCGGTCGAGACGCTGGTCGCCGCCGCCGCAGGGGCGGGCGGGAGCGTGCTCGTGATGAGGGTGTGGACTGGATCGTGTGCACGCGGCGGTCGGTGCCGAGGACGAGCTTCTCGGCGACAGAGGTAAGACGGTGACCGGGAGGGACGCGCTTCGCTGTGCGGCGACGAGGGGACTAGGAGGGCGGTGAAGGGGGGGGCGCATGGTGAGGAGGGGTGGGGAGGTAGTGTGTGCGGATGGGGGAGGAGGGAGAGGGTGTGCCGCGGCATGGCGGCGATGAGGCTTTAAGGTTCTGTCGAGGACGTGGGCGATGTCAGATGACCCTCTGCTTCCCAACTACAGCCTCTCGGCGCTGCCAATGGAAATCCAGAGCATCGTACCGCTTGAAGGAGTAGAAGAGCACTCAAGTACTCAATGCTATCACCCAGAGCTTTTGGAGGCTGAAGCGCTGAAGTTCAACTGGCAATGGATGACGTCACCGGTTCGCCGCAGATTCGTCTCTCGGGCGACTCCGAGATGCTCGGGGTCTCAGCCGCGAACCCTTGAGATGCTCACAGACACCAGCTAGTACACCGCAGTGTTAGAACAGTACCTGTTTAGATCGGCCCTTGACACAACGGTACGTTTCTAAGCACACCGTCACACCACGGTGCTCAGTATTGCACCCCACGCTCGCCACAACGATCGATCCGGTATGTTTTCAAATCGAACCGCCCGCGCCCGCGAGCCAAGTGCCCAGCAGCACTGCCCGAACCCGTCGCCATCCACCCCGTTCAGCATGGCGAGTGCGTGATCAGCGCGCTGATGACGTGGCTCCGACACACGCCCTACCACGCCTGTCCTCTCCGCACTCCGGAAGGCGCCCGCGGCACGGCACATCACGTTCGTGTTTGCCGTTCGGAAGGACGTCGAACGGAACGCCGCGCGCGGCGGACGCGGCGAGGGTGGCGGAGTGGTCGGGGCTTGACGTGCTTGGTATTGTGCGGAGGGGGCGCGCGTTCGTATCACACGCGTCTTCCTCTGCAGAGCGTCCTCTCAAGCAAACGTGGACAGCTCCCAAGGTTCTAAGGACACCTGACACAGTGGATTGACAGATTTGGTTCTAGATGGATGCATAGGAGAGTACATCAGAACACCCGGTATACAATGTCCGACAAAACAGTCGACATGCACATAAACTCCCAGTCTCGCAGCAGGTCCGGCCTCTCCGGCGCGGGGGCTCCAAACGCGAACGTGGTCTCGTAGTGACCAAACCAGGGATGCTGCGGGGGGCCGAGCTGAAGCACCTCCACATCTGCCTTAACCACGAGGTCAACTGTTACAGAGCGCAGGGCCAGCCCAACGGGGAGCGGGCTTCCGGGCGCCTTTGGAAATATCTCGCGGTTCTGCAAGAGCGCTTTGGACGCCTCTGGCGAGACCGCGGCCGCTTTCTCTGCGTCCTAAACATACCGCGAAACGGGCGTGTCAGGTTACTACAACGCGCCCGACGGAATGAGACACGCACCGCGAAGAATCGCTCGTATCCTCGCGCAACCTGCTCCAGAAGGTCTCTCCGACAGGGGGTCCGACCGAAACCTGTGGTGGCGACGCGTACGCTGTACGCCTTCGGCTTGCCGCCAAAAAGCCCGGGCCACTACGTGGAGAGTCAATCACGAGGCAACGTTGAGGGTCAGAAAAGCGAGTACTTACCGAGATCACGAGCTCAAAGTCGGACGCGCCGACGATCGGTGGATCCGGTGTCGGTCCGCGCGATCCTTCAAATATTTTCTGAAGCCTCTTGGGGTCGACAAGGAGGCATATAGGGACCGCGATCGCAAATTCGTAGGCTTTAGTATCCCGCTTCTGAAATCCCGTGCGTGTGGGAGCCCCAAGGATAGTCCGATAGTACGTATGCTGCGGGTTGGTGGTTTGATTGCAATTCCACTGCATGGCGGCGAGTTCGCTCCAGACCACTGTTGCATGGTGGCGATCGTTCACTGGGGGCGGTGGGCGGAGGGCGGGCGAGGTGCTGAAGATGGGTGACCTCGCACGTCCGTCTTATACGTGTGGACAGCCCGAACCGGGGCAGGGGTTGAAGGCGGTTTGCGGCCAAAGCGACTGGCATTCTGAGTGGCAAGACTCACTGAACCAAGCGGGTTGCCACTCAGGGGTGGCACATTGTCTGATGAGTGGCGATCAGCGATGCAAGAGAACAAAGCATAACATACGCTTCGACAGAGTGGCCGCCGCTTGTCCCCGACAAAGAGTGCACCACTCCCTGCTCATTGGAGCGCTGAGCTGAACCTCGATGGGATCGCGCAACGAGAGCCCATGGATAATGCGCTCTTGGTGCGCCAGAATGGACGGAAAGAAAATGAAGAACTCACCACGAGTTCTTCCCGAAGTTAGGCGTAGAAGGGCTACACTGACGCATAGACACCGGCTGAGACACTGAGACGAATGCTCATTCGATCGGCGGCGTCGATGCAGTTGTGGTCGTCGGATCTTGACCACCCCGAAACCGACAAGCCATGACTGTCACAAGCCACTGCAACGTCAAACACAGCTCCGACCAAACCTAGACGGTCTTTGCCACGGATAGATGAGTTCAACTTGATGAGTTGCGATTGAAGCTTTTTGAGAGCCTCATCGGGCCGCCGTCACGGAGGCACTTGATAGATTGTGCAGGGATGGAGCAAAGGCGTCGAGACTGGACACTCGTTGATAGAACGGGAGATGAAAAGCAAGCAAACAGAGAGTTTGGGATGGTGATCGCCCAAAGTGTAACGCCCAAGCGCGCAAGCGAGGCGGGCAGCGGAAAGATCACGTGCGCATTACTTATCTTCGCGGAAACGGTCGACCGATCAAATCGTCCAACCAACTTTAAATGCTATATCAGGAGTCCGGGAGGACAGAGAACGTGGTGTGATATATACAGTATTTACTAGAAACTGAAGACCCAGTTACAACTTGGTTGCGAGCATTCAAGAGTTCACTGAACGGCCACTGGTGAGAGGATACATCTGTTGCCAGTCCTTCAGGAGACCCAGACTTTCCGACGCGGGAAACGCGACCTTGCTTTTCCCCTCAAATCCCCAGAGCGGACACGTCCGTTCAAGGTGAATGAGCTCCACTTGGGCCTCCAAGGCGTCGTGGCGCAGCGTGACGGATCGCACCGCCAGCCCGAGCGGGAGCCCACGGTCCCACATCAGCAAAATGGGTGCATGCACGACAGGGCTCTGTAGTACACTGTAGTATGTCAGATAGCGCTATCATTATTTGTAGTTCAGACGAGCAATGATCCGATAGTATCCATGTTTGGTAGATTAACGGCGGCGACGATCAGCATTCATCTGCATCTGTCGGACAACATCTGTACTTTGGTCTTACTTTTAAAACCTCTAAAAGCCCTATCGGTAGATATTTTAGAGGTTTTAGTGAAGTTAGATGTTTAGTGGAGATAGAACAGAATTTGTAGAGAGGTTAGAGGTCTTAAATGAGTTAGAGGTACTTAGAACTTGTTTGGTTATGTTCAGAGCTGCTAATGAGCGCACACTCCGGTTCAATTGTGGGTCAACCCACAGATCCACACACAAGATATAGCTTTAGAGAAAATATATTGATTGTATTTCATTAACAAGAGTACTACAGGGACATGAACGAGCAGGGGTGGGCGAAACCGTGATTGGTGACGTGGGCGGGTGTGCGCTAATGCGAGGCGCGCGGGCGAGGGCCCTGACGCAGGTGCAGGGGGGTGACAAGGCACAAGCTGAAGGGCACAGAGGAGGGAGAGAGGTTGGACGACGTGGACGAGATTGGCGAGACGCAGGTGAGATGCGGGCGAAGTGAGTGAGGCGGGAGGTGGTGGGCAAGGGCGAGGTGGGTGAAGACGAGGTAGCAACGCGGCGTGGCGGTGAGGTGGGCGTGGGGGTAGCACAGGCGGAGTGGGTGACGTGGGCGAGGTGGGCGAGGGTGAGACGTGGTGGAGGATGAGGGCGACACGGGGGAGTGTGATGCAGGTGGCGAGACGACGGCGGTGCAGGCTGGCGGCGGGACACGGGAAACCCAGGGGAGGCAGAGGATGTGGGCGCCGGGCGATACAGGCGAGTGCAAGACGGGGGCAGCGGGGGCGGTGGGGCGCGTCGACGCAGCGGCGAGACGGGGACGACGCGAGGCGGAGCCGAGGGACCTGGATGCGGGAGGGAGGGCCGGGATGAGGCGGATGAGGCGGAGGACGAGGGTTAGGTGGGCGAGGACGCAGGGAGCAGAGGGGACAACTCACCGAAGGAGATCAGGGTTGCGGGAGCTCACCGCAACCCCAGCAACCATGTCTCCATACAGACGTCGGGGTGGAAGTCCCGAATCCTCCGTGTGTTGTGAGCATCGAGGGGGGCAATTGGTCGGGTGCGCGACCGACTAGGGGGGCAAGGCGGAGGGTTGTGGGGGCACTGGATGAACGCGCACCCCGCGCGTTTGATAGGACGAGGAGCGGGGGGTGGAGGGCGCGAGGGCGACGCGTGGAGGGCTCGAAAAGGGTCAGCACGGGACCAACTTCGCCGCCAGAACCTGAGAGGGAGAGGTGACATGGGGAGCAGGGGGGCGGGAGGAACTCACCAGAGGAAATCGGGACCGTCACCGCTACCCCACAGGACGTCTGCGCGCGGAAGCGCGATGACCCCACGTGCATGAAGGGCAGGGCGACGCGAGGCAGGCAGTGGGATTGCAGTGACCCCAGTTGAGTACTCCCCTGCCCCCTCTGCTCCCCGCATCCCCCAACCTCTGCTGACCCGCTCTCTCGTCCCCACCCTCGCCCATGTTGCTCGCCACCTCGCCCCGTCGCCCACTACGCTCTCTTGCCCCCATATCTCCTGCGTTGCCCACCCACGACGTCCGCGTTGTCCACGCCTCCGCCCTCCCGCCTTCACGCCCTCGCCCGCATCGCCCGTCTCGCCCTCGCCCACCTCACCCACGTCGCCCCCGTCGCCATTACTGCCCCCATGTCTTCTGGGTCGCCCTTCGCGCCCTCGTCCGCGTCGTCCTCTCCCACCTCGCCACCCTCACACCATCCACCCCTGCACCCTCCACGTCCTCCACCCCGGCGTCGTTCACCCCCCGCGTTCTCCGCCCTCTACATTCCGCGTTTCCCCGCCCTCGTCTTCGCCCACCGCACCCTCGCCCACCACATCCTTCCGCCATCCGTCCTCCGCGTCCTCGTCCTTCCACCCGCGCCCTCGCGCCCTCACCCTGTGGCCACCGCGTCGCCCTTGCCCGCGTCGCCCATGTCGCCCGCATCGTCTCACGCGCCCACCACGTTCTCACCCGCGTGTCGCGCCGCGCCGACCGCGTCGTGCCCACGTCGACCGCTGCACGTCGACCGCCTTACCCCCATCCATCTCCCTTGTCATCCTCATCCGCATCGTGCACCTCGCCCGCATCGTCCGCGACGCCCGCGTCTTACCCTCGTTGGCGGTCTTGGCCTGCGTCTCGCACCTCGACCCTGCGTCACCCACCTTGCGCCCGCGTAGCCCTCATCTGGTGCGCCCGCGCCCACACGCTTCACACCTGCGTCAACCACCTTGCCCACTACGCCCGCGTCTCCCGCATCACGCCCACATCCCTGCCTCGTCCGCCTCTTGCCCCGTCCGTCTTAACTCTCGCCCCACTCTCCCGTCTCGCCTCCTCGTCTCACCCCCACGTCGCCCACACCCGCCTAACCCTCTCCGCCTCGCCGTGTCGTCGTCGTCCACGCCCGCATCACACCCGCGTCATCTACTGTACCCCTTCGTCGCCCTCGCTGTGTCGCCGACCTCGCGTTCTTCGTGTCGTCCTCAGCTCCCTGTGCATTGTCCACGCCCCGCACGCTCTGCGTCATCTGCCCTCTGCGTTGCCCGCGCTCTCCACATCACCTGCCCTCCGCATCGCCCTGGGCCCTCCGCGTCCACCTCACACACCTTGCACATTGTGGGTGTGCCCCTTGTGCCCTCGTGTCTGTGGCACAGTGTCCCTGTGTACTTATTTTGTGTAATATATTGCCTTGACACCAATATATTTCGTCCTTACCACATGAGAATCACCACTTCTCTAAGTCGTCTTAAGACCTCTATAACCTTCAATAGTTCTAACAAGTTCTAAGGATCTCTAACAATCTCTAAAAAAAACTTAGAGGTTTTAGAGGTTTTAGAAGTAGGACCAAAGTACAGATGAAGACACCGTCCGATCGGGCATGGTCAGACGCCAGTGAACGTCAGATCGAATCCCGGTGTGTGTATGATCATTAGCTGGCCTGTATATGATCTAACATTATCTGCGCAGCCGCTATACTACAGTGCATTCTTGACCCGACAAAGACCTATCGAGTGCGATCAGACACAGGTGCTGACGTCCATTATAGACCATATAACGGGTCACCGGATGCCTGGTGCGGTACAATCCACCGAAATCATGCACACACTCATAGCAGGTGTGCAGCACAAACCATTGTATTGCTACTTTATATCGAGTAAGGTACATACTACACATTGAAGAGAGCGACAGGAAAACGTCGGATGTTATGCTGACAATGCGTAGTCGCCGTGTCAGCGGGATTGAGACCGACTCTCTGTGTGCTCATACAGCGGCCGGCGGCGGCGTGTCCCTGACATTCTGCCCGAGGACCGGCCGGCGGAGGTTAAGGTCAAGCGCATGAAGCTGGTACGCCGCATGGGTGTGCATCGGGACGCGGGTTCTGTTCTTAAGCACTAAGAGGAGTGTGGCGAAGAAGCTGAAGAAGCTGAACACTTGGCATCAGCGTCGGGGTTTGGGATTCGGCGCGGGAGAGGGAAGACGTACTTCCAGTCTCAGTCAAATCAGCCTCAGGCGCCGAGTAGCGCGGGGACAGTGAGCGCGACATTGAAGTTGATGGTTCAAGTGGGACGCAGTGAGCGCGGGGCGGGCGGAAGAGGAGTGGGATG